TCATAAAAAACAATAGATATAAAATATCCTGAGTTATACATTTACAACTCAGGGTTACTAGATATATCAATAGAAGATCCCATTTCGAATAATAGATTGGCTACATTGATAAGGCTCATCAGTCATTAGTAAATACAGCCAATAATACCAAGTGAACACAAACGAGCCATAATTTTACCCACGCTTTAAATAACTATAAATACCTCCCTTTCTTTTAGAGATGAAAAAGGGATTCACTTTTAATAAGAATAAAAAAGCCTACAAGCAATATTAATCTTATTCTTCCTGTTTTTTTATCTTTTATTTTTTATTTTTCCGTGTCAAACAAATCGGTTTTCCACAATGATAACGGATGACTTCCAAAACCCAAAACAGAAATTAAAATAACTTGAAATAAACTTCGGAAATTCTATTTTCCGAAGTTAATTTGGCATGCCTTCCAAAACGCACAAAAATGAAAATTAATTTTTTTTTATTTTTATTTAATTCAAATAATTCATGATTTCTTGCTTCCTTTTCTTCCGATTAGCGTAGTAAACCGTTCTGATTTGGTTTACACCAACGGTCCTTACACGGAAGTTGTGTAACCTCCATACAAGGGTCAAAATATCTCTACGCTGTTCCTTATCAGAAGGAAGTTTTGCATGCAGCCTTCCAAATGACCCTGGTATGACTCTCATTCCCCATTCTACTGCCTGCCAATGCTTCGTAATAACGGCATGCTTTTTTTGAGTTGCCACATCACCTCTATCTACACCAATTGCGTTTTCTCTTGGCACACTCAAAATCTTGCACGCAAATTCTCGCCTACAAGGAAAGGCTGAATCTGCAAGGAGCTTGTAAGGTTCTTTGCATCGATGAGTCAGCAGCTTTTCGTAAAGTGGTACGGATATTTCTGCATCATGCCATGATCCAGGACAGTTATATCTATACAAGGAAGGGTCCATTCAGTTTTTGTTTGATTAAAGGCACAATATATATACGTATATCTTACCTCACATAGCAGATGCATTCATCGGGCGTATAGACTAAAACCTGCGAGGCGTAGCAGTCTCCTTTCCATCCATTGTAGTAAGCATTCTGCTCGAAAGGATACTGTATTTTCAGGTTAAGTCCGTCAACAAAACCAAAGACCCCTCTTAATACTTCTTTTTCAAAGTCGTTGGTTGTGTTTGCATACACCATTTCATTGAAAACTTTCATTTCATCCTCAGTAGGCCAAGAGATTTTCCAACGGGGGTCTTCTTTGTTTTTTATGAATACCTTTAAAAGAGTTTCAATACCCATATTTTTGGATCTGCTAATTGTAGCAGTAGGCGCACCAAAAATCATGCAAAATGTTTCTTGTTTCATTGTACTGTGTAACCACATAAGAACTAAAGCAAGGATCATCTCGGGGTCAAAAACTCTTTTACGTTCAGTCTTGCAAACATTAGGATATTCTATCAGGAATTCTTCGTATAATTCATCAAATGATGCGATGGTTAAACCAAGATGACACATGTAAGCATCATCTGGACGAGCCATAATCAATTTTCTAGCGGCTGATTTGGAAGGTTTATGTAAACTTCTGGATGTTGTGTAGAACTGTTTACCCAGATTCAAGTACATTCATGTAATGAAAAGCAGCAGTAGAAAGAATAGCAATGTGTGTAAACATTTATAATGTACGTTTGGTTACTGGTGGCATTTCAAATATGTAACAAAAGTGTTAAAAAACATTATATGGAATGAAGGGGTAGGGGGTGGAAGAATGTATTCAGTTACAACAGACCCCGTCCCAATAGATTTCCATCACATATAGTCACAACATAATGATAGGTCAAAAGAAGTCTGAAAAACGAAGTCTGAAACATTATGAGATTCGCTTAACAACGAGCTATAAAAACTGAGTTACCTGTTTATAAAATTATTTTCTTTTTTTTTCTATCAAAATAATTTATTCAAACTAATCATGGGAAACGTTTCAGTAGACGTAAGATTCACTGAAAATGACAAGCTTTACTTGCTCACAATAGCAAAGCATGCTCCACCATCTGGAGCTGATGAATGGAACGAGGTATGCCAAATGTACATGGCAGGAAAAAAGAAGCAGGTAGCAGAAGAGAATGAGGGCGTAGGATATAATAAAGGCAATAATTTTCAGGCTTTTAAAGTAATTCAATTAAATAAGGAACAAAAGATCAGATACAATTTATATTGATTACACGAAGCTTGTTTGACAAAAGCTTAATAAGACAAAATAATTTATTTGTGATTGAGTATGAAACAGATTAAAAACCAAAACCCTCCAGCCACACAGAGCTATTATTCCATTCTTCACTATAGGTCTTTCAAGAGATTTGTGGAGGTTCATATTTAAAATTTTAACGATGATTATTAGTACTCGCGTATTCTGACTACGGTCATTGAGAAGAGGGAGAGGAAGAGGAAGAGGAAGAGAAAGAGTGCGTCGTGGCGAAGGTCACCTTCCAAAGATGATGTCGAACTAGGCACAAAATAGACCAGATCCACTTGGTTCCCCAGTACACGATCTGGCGCCGTCATCGTTCTCCCTGCCGAGATGCTGTAGTTTTTTTATTTTATTTATTCCCTTATGTCTACGTCTTTTAGTAAAAAGATTTGCTTTGTCCGTTTGGCTAAGCCTAGTTTCATCTTGAAATATTTGTGTTAGAAATAGCAGATATTTTCTTGTTGATAATCGTTCCAAGGCAGCCTTTGATGCCTTCCAAAGGAATGTGTGTCTTGTTAAAAATGTAAAAAGCCATTGTGGGTAAAGTTCAGTTATGCCTAGGATGACAGGCGTAAGGAGATGGACTATATTTAACCCACAGTTAGGAAAAACTTCTTAATCAATAATATTATCTGGTCGACTACACGAGACTGTGGTTAATAAAGTATTTTTCGCAACGTAGTCTGTAAGATGTCTTCCATAAATATAAGATTTTTTTTTTATATGGATCGCTTGGCAGAAGAAAAGATCCGGAATGTCTTTTTCAAACTTGAATAATTTTTTAATCCTCAGCACCTGAAGATAAACCTGCTATGAATTATTTTTCTCGTCTCGAAGAGATTATCAACCTTGTAGCTAAACGTCCAAGAAACAAAGTCTTATGACAGCACTCAAAGTAATTGTACTTTAACAGAGAATTTGCTGATGCAGCTGTTGTAGCACGTGTATGCTTTAAAACACTAGAGCTCATTTATCAGTCTAGAGAAAAACTTTGCGTTGCAACAACCCTTCAGAAACGCCATTTGACTGATAAAAAGGACTGTATAAAAGTAAAAATTTTAAGCTGGCTTTTTTTTCTGTCACCCCCTCTTTTTTTTTTTTTTTCAACAATGTCGATGGATGAACCACCCGCCATTTTATTAAGAAGATGTAAAGAGCGATCGGGTATTCGACTTACCAGAGAATACTTAACAGCGTGGAACCAACGACGTAGCAGCTCTACGCCTAATATAGAATCAGCCTATACCGATATTGTGGCCGATTTTTTAAAAACGGATATCTCTGAAACTTCAGAACCCGTTATCCCTGAGGACTATGGTCGACTTGCCATCGATACGTTCCCACCGGCTCATTTACGTCAAGGCGGTGGTGTGGTACTTCAGATTCAAGACACCAACGATGTCAGTCATTCTGCTTTATCTCAACTGGACAATCTAAGTAGTGGTCAAACATGGCCTCGTGGAAAATTACGTTGGACATTAAGCGATGGACATCTACAAGTGCAAGCGACAGAATTTCAACCGATCCCTTTTCTCAATCTAACCATACCATTTGGCTCCAAAGTGCTTGTCAAAAGTTGTCAAGTGAGAAGAGGTATGCTCATGTTGACACCTGATAATGTCAAATGGTTAGGGGGTGGAGTTCCCGAACTCTATGGTGGAAATATGACGACCGAATTACAGACAAGATTGAAAACTAGACTTGGTACTCTTGCACAGCCAAATACACCTATACCTTCGACCACACCTTCCAATTCATTTACAAATTCATTTACTGCGAACCGAAATACAACCACAACGAATTATCCAACTCCCAGTAGTAGGAGTAGTACAAACTCAACCCCATTTGTAAATACAATGCACAGTTCACATACAAATAACAATGCATCAGCCTCTGAATTTGATGAATTCGGTGATATAGATATGGATCAATTTAACGATATGGATATGAGTCAATTCAACGATATCGACATGGATCAATTCAATGATATTGATCTTGATGATGAATTTGGTTATGATGAAGACATGGATGAAGTGAGTGAACCCACTATTTCTCAAATTATACCCCCGGCACCACCAGCATCAACAGCAACGGTACCCTCATTTGATGATAGTGATGATGATTTTGTGTCAACACAAATAATACCTGTGAAATCTCGTCTACAACCCAAATCACCCGTTTCGCTTGCAAAACGACCCCGCATCAACCCTCCCGCGGTAAGAACCAATTCAGCCGAGGCAAGAGGCAGGACATCAGAGGAACCATCTGTGATAAGAGCCCCAAAGGAAAGAGTCAGTTCAGCTGAGACATTCACCTCTACCATGGACCAAGGAAGTATACCAAGCATAAAGAAAGAAAAGAATCCAGTAGAAGAAGAAGTGCATTGGGTAGATCCTAGTGCATGGATGGAAGAAGAGGAAGAGGAAGAGGAGGAAAAGATTGAAGGTGTAGAGGTGCGCTCCGATGGTAAAACCTATGTGACATTTGAGGCCTTGCATCGAATTATTGGACAAATGGAACAGAATACGTTTACAGGTTCGTTAGTGGATGTTGTGATTGTGGAGGCGAGATATCGAAAGATAGCAGCCATGCGATTATCGGATGCTTCTGGGTTTTATTCCATTTTCGAGATTGGGGATCCTTTGGACGAAAAGAGTGATAAAATTATAAAAATTGTCATTGGCAATTCTGTAAGTTTCTCTTTGTTTTTGAATATATAAAGATTTTTTTTTATTATTTTTTAGTCTAATGCTCGCTAACAACAACAACAAAAGTTATTTATGGAGTTTCTAGGTATTGACCCGAAAGATGCAAAAACCGTGGGAGATGAATTAAAGGATGTCAAGAAGGCTAGAAAGGTAAGATGGGTTCATTTTACACATTTTTTTTTTTTTTGTTTGTGTTAGTTGGTGATGGTGGTTAAAGCGGTTATTTTTCATCTTAGGTTTTACTGCCTTTTGATAAAAGTATTCGATCAAAATTAATTTCATTTTCACTGGATATCAATATTATGGAAAAGGAAATGGCTAGTAACGGACAAGGACTTTCCTTCTTACCTATTGCCTTATCCTATCAAATCAAATCAAAGTAGGATTTTTTTTTTTCTTTTGCTTGTGTATATGAATGAATGCTATATATCCGAATTTCGGGGTACTGCATATTTTAATAAAAGCCTGTGTTCTATCCCGATCGACTTCAATCGAAGAGCTATTTATTTTAGAAATGAGCACGTTTATCAAGCTTGTGTCGCCATGCAATGGAAAAAAAAAATCTTGATCTTGTTGTTCTATTGGCACTCTACTTGAATGACTAACAAATCTCAAGGTGACTGTGTTTCTATTAAAGATCTTTGCTCTCAGCTGACCTGAATATGTATCCATTGACAGATTTTGATGTATGCATGAAACAAGGTTTCATGACACGGGGTGTATGAAAGTTGTCTTATCCTATTTTACCACTTTTGGGGGGTATTAGGATGAAGCATAAGATGAGAGAAAGAGAACAGAAAAAAAAAAAAAAAAAGGCTGATCTGGATTAGAAAAAAAATAAAATAAGTGTGCATATTCCCATAATTCTAGTTTATGACCGCAGGTAAATAAATCAGTCAGCAAGTAGGACAAGATAAAAAGGTTCTGTTACAAAAAATATAACGGAAGAACAGAAAGGATTGAGGTGACAATAATACAGGGCTCAGTCCTTTATTTACAATCAAAAAAGTAAAATTCGAAGTTTGTGCACTTTTGTCTACTCGTTTAGGGAACTTTATGTGGTACCTTAGATACAGGTTGTGTGGTTTACTTATCTAAATAAGTTACAAGTATCTAATCTGCCCTCTGTATAAATTATGTGTGTGAATATATTTGACCAAATTTAAGTGTTCTACTAACTCTTTGCTCACAGCTTTGTAGGAAGGGGTTTTGTTCAAGAACGATAGTAAGTAAATGAAGAGTGGGCATGATAGAGAAGCTATTTTAAAATTAAATCTGGCATAAAAAAAAGCAAGATAAAATTAGATGTTAGTCATGATAGCGTTTGATAAAACGTGTCGTATTGATAATGAACAACTATGTATCCTGTTTATTATTCAAATTGAAATAGGGTGCACATACAGGAAAGAGGACAAAGTGGAAAAGAGACGATAAGAATCCTCAATGTTACATGATTAAAACAGCAATCAATCGAAAATCCATGAAAAAACAACATGGGTTACACATCTCACAGAGGCCGATCTTGAAACATTTAAACAATTAAATTAGGGAAAAGAGAGCTGAGAAGCATTACTTAATCCTTTCTTCTTTTTCTCTTTTATTTTTCTTTTTTTATACATATACTCTTTGTTTTTATATATATATATAAAAAACAAGATCCGGTAGAGATCATTTATTTCTTTTTTTTAGGGGGAGGGTAGCAAAAAAAAAAGGTTTATATAACCATGGGAAATGAACAATCGACCTCATACGAATCATCCACTATGAGTTCCGAAAAACCCGCTTCATATACTACACGATCCACTACGACAAGCAATAGCAGTAGCACACGTAAACCACAACCGTTTGCAGGCTCATTTTTTGATTCTCATCTGGCACCTGTTGTGCCGCATCAACAAGCCAAGAAACCTAATCGACCAGCAGGACATGTCAACTTCTTCGAGGTAGCAGCTGTCTCGCCTCAACCCACCAAAAGTATCAAATCTTCACCTTCTAATTCATCCTCTTCTTCATTAAAGAATGGTAGTAAACAGTCCTATCCATCCACTTTAAATAGTGGCCGACATTTATCCAAGAAGAGTATTTCGCAAGTCACTACAACCAGTTCTGGAAACTCGTCTGTAGGAAGTAATGAGATTGAATCCAAGCTTTCTTCGATATCGGATTATATTTATATTCATGGTAGAAAGTACTGGAAAGCGCATGGTTCGCAAAAGTTTATTTTACCTTGTGATGATGAAGAAAGCGACAGATTGATGGCTATGGTATAGTAGAGAAACGCAAAAAAAGAAAAGAGAGAGAGAAGCTAATTTGTTTGTAGCACTATATTTTAAAATCGAAATTTGGAGGCAATTTTCTCTCACCGATTAGACAAGTGTTGAGTTCTGAAATGAATCGTAGCAAAGTTCTTGAAATTGGGTGTGGAGCAGGTACGTGGATTCTTGAAATGGCCAGTGAATTCCCCAATACAGGTACTCTATTTTATATGAATATATAAATATCTGATGAGTCATAACTTAGTTTTGTTGAATTAGAGTTTGTTGGGGTAGATGATTGCCCGTTATTTCCAGCAAGCATGAAGCCAAGAAATGCACGTTTTAAGTTACAAAATGTGTTGAAAGGATTATCGTTTAAAGATGGAGAATTTGATTTTATTTACATGCGATTGATGATGATTTATTTTACACCTGAAGAATTAACCAAACTCTTGCGTGAGATCTCTCGTGTGCTAAAACCCGGTGGATACTTTGAAGTTTTGGATACAAACTACACCATTCGAAATGCAGGACCCATTTCGAAAAAGCTGGTCAACTCCGAACGTGAGTTTCTTTTTTTTTTTTAGGTGTGTAAATATATGAAAAAAATGACTTACCCCCCATGTTATGTAGTGAAGAATATACTACAATTATCCACAGCGACGTACGAATCGAATACGAATCATCCAATTTTTACGTGTTTGATGTTAGCCCCTCAACAACCTGGTAATAACCCTGAGGGACATTTCATTGATATTCAGCAAGAGCGTGCGGTGTTGCCGTTGGGAGATTGGGGAGGTGGGCAGATTGAAGAGTTGCATGTGGCCAATTTCAAGAATTTGCTCAGAAGCATTCAAAGCACAGATGAGGCACTTTCTCCCCTATCAAAACAATCTGTGGATTCCATTCTTGATGAATGCGATCACTATAAATCATATTTGGATTGGTTCTCGTGTTATGCAAGAAAGCCGTTTAATGACGATCAATTGGAACAAAGTACACTTGATTCTATTTATGAATTCGTTGATGGATTTGTAGATTTTTAGTTATAATAAAAAAAAAAGAGGAAATGTTATATATTTATTTTTGAAATGTGTATTTGATAAGTGAAATATGAGAAATAGTGAAATGAGAAAAAAAAAATCTATTGAGATTTAGAGGTAAGGGCTCTATGAGCTTCAGCTAATTGAGCTTCAAGTACACGAATGCGGTCTTCAAGACCAACATCTTTGGCATGAAGAGCCACCTTTTCCGACTCGAGCACGGCAACACGGGTCGTGAGTCGGGAATTGTCCGATTCCAATTGGTGAACTTGCTTCTCCAAGGTTTCCATCTTTACAATCTTCTTGAGACGAGAACGACGAGCAGCATCTGTATTCTTTTGGCGTTTTTGAGATACTTCATCACTGTCTTGTTGAATCTCCAGCTTGCGTTTAGTGGTGTTCATGGTGGGTGTGAAGGCACCAGGTCGAGGTGCAATAGGAATAGCAGTCTTAGGCATGATAGCAATGGGGCGACGCTGATGGATAGGTTGAGGTTGCACCTGGACTGGTTTAGGACTCTGATGGTTTAGAATGTCTGGGAAGAGAGCGACTAAATCAACAGAGGGAGCATCATGATCACCGACAGATACAGCAGGACTTGCAGTTAAAGGAGGAGAGATGGGTAAAAGTTGAAAGAGATCTTGAAAAGCATCGGTTTGTTTGGAGAGTAAATCAGAATTGGAATCGGTTGGATTGAACCAATCCTCCATAGGGTTAAATAACACTTGAGAGAATTGGTTGGAGGAATAATCTCCATTAAAATAGTTTGGTTGGTAGGTCATTTGTTTGGTTTTCAGTTATTTGGGTTGTTTTTTTTTGGGGAGAAGTAGCTTGGTAGCAGTAGTAGTATTATTCTGGGTGGTTGATGGTAGAGTTGGTTTTCTTTCGGTTACAAGTAGAGGGTTCGTCTGTAGTATAAGAGAAAAATGGCTTGCTGGGACGAGGATTAAAGAGCAGCATTTTTGGGGGACAATCAAAAAGCATATTTAACAAATTTAACAAAAGATTCAATATTTAACAAATATAAAATTGATTCAAGATAGGAAAGGGATAAAGAGGATAAAGAGATTAAAAGGCAACCATTTTTAAAAGGTGAGTATAAAAAAAGTGGTAGCGTTTAAAAAAAGTGTGGAAAGGGTTAAAGAAGAAAAACAAGATGGAAAACTGTAGTGCTTTTTATACATGGATGAAAATTTTTAAAAGATAAAGCCATCTTATTGGTAATTAGGGTATTGCTCATAATTGATTTTAAATTATGATTGGATAATTTAATTTAGTGTCATACTTTTTTTTTTATTTGGTATGGGACACAATTTACAAAACTTTATTCAATGTACCATATGCATTTGATTTTCTTTTTAATAATGTAAGGCTGATGCAACTTATTTAATAGCTTTTGCCTTCTTATCCTTCGCACCTTTTTTTGTTTTTTGGTTGTTGCAAATGAATTTGAAACATTCTCTATCCAATCTAGCTCTTTTGAAGCCTTCAAAACCGCTAATTTGTTCTTACGAGACATGCCACTACTAGGTTCAGGCGGCGCCAATTCTAACTCCGGTGCCGGCGGTGACGAGGGCAACGGCGACGACGTCGATGATGATGATGACAACGTCGACATCATGTCAAAAATGTCTTGGTACACTTTGTTCTGGCGATCCTCGTCCCGCGCTAAACAAGAGTCTAGCCAAACATCAACGCTGCTACTATCCTCACTATCCTCATTTGTCTCTTTGACTGAGTTGGTATCCTGCACCGCCTCATGATTGTCACAACGCGAATCTTTCTCCGCAACAGCAGTAGTGCTAGTAGTAGCAGTAGTAGTAGCAGTAACAGTAGTAGGCTCAGTTACCTCGGGTGTCACTAATTCCGAATGTTCAACCAACGAATCGTCCTCCTCGCTCACGACGGGTGGTGGGGGTAATGATGGTGACACAAATGAGGATGTATTGGTATATTGATTGTCTCCTTTGGCAGTGCTCATGGTATTTGCCATAAAAGTTGGTATAATGGATTGTGTACTTAGGTCAAACATGACAGGCGCGGTATTTTCTTTTAATCGTTGCAGATAAGTTTTCTGCGGTATGTTATTTCCGGTGGCGGATGAATGGGGTGGCTGTTTCTTCTGGTTGAGAACACCTAATATGACGGGTGCCAGTTCGGAGGATCTGGTTTCATTCGTGTCCCATAATTGAGAGAGAATCACACGATCATGTTGGGAAGGCATGAGTAGAATATCGTCCAGCATGGGTGTAGGTGCAGACACCAACTCGGGATCCACAATGCTTTTCAATGGTAATTTCCTCTTTGATTTTCTCGGTCTTGTATCAGCATTGACAACCATATTTTGCCCTATGTTGTGCGTTGTGTGTGAGAGAATGAAAAGAAGAAAAAAAAAAGAAAGGAGGAGGCGGTAAGAGACTGTTTTTTGTGGGGGTTTGTTTTATTTTATTTTATTTTTTAAACTACTACTGCTCTCCCCTTTGTTGGATTTGAGAAAAGGATGTATCAAAAAGAAACCTGTCAAATTGATTAATCTTATGCTTAATATACAGTGGACATGTGGAATCGAGATTCTTCAAAGTCTTTGATTTGTTGATCATGAAGTCGGTGATGACGTGCACCACTCTTTAATCGGGATGCATAAGCATTCACAACTGATGCAAAGTAAATCTAAATACATTAAGGTCAATATTTATATTTACTGTTTTAGTGTGTAAAATCGTGTTGCCTAACCTGTAATACTTGGATGGCAAAGATAATAGCACCCCAAAGAATGATCATTAATTTAATAGATCGCTCACAATCTTCGGGATCAGTAGCAAATGAATTCATGGTGTCTGGATATCGCACAGGTGTATAATAACTGCCTGTGGAAATAGTTGTAGGCACAAGTCCCGATTGCGAGTTACCAATGCCAACTAATCCAGATCGGATACAGGTATTCATCATATTCTGTCGATATACAATCATCAGCACTAACGAGATAATGTACTTGAAAAAGGACAAGACACAGCACACCCACACAACAATACTAAAGAATTTGGCGGATCTTCTTTGTGCCTATATATTTTATTCGGTTTAATTAACTAAATTTATCTTTTAATCAACAAAAACTTACAAATAAAGAACCAATGATACCGGATAAACCACCTAGAAACACAAGTACGGTGAATAGTAAATTGATATAATACCATGCTTTAGCTGTCTGTCCTGAATACACAACAATGGCTGTTGTTTTTATATTGGTTAGTTTTAAATCTTTCGCTTCTTTTGGAGTAACAACATACCATTGATTCCGAGAAAACCTGTAATGGCGTCAAACAAGTAAACGACCTACATGTGTGAAAAAAAAATATATAGTTGTCAGTATGACAAAGTGTAAGACTCCTCTACATGAATGAGTACAAAAAACCAAAGTGCAATGACAAACGCTCCCAAGCGAAGGGGTATAAAACAGCAACACTTTTCTAGAGCCAACCCCATTATCGTTACTAATATATTTGTATTAAAAAAAAAAAAAAAAAAAAAAAGAGGGAGACAATCAATGAGGGGAATGAAAAAAATTATTTATAGGTATTAAACTCAATAGAGGTTGTGTTTGTGTAGTGTTTTTAGCAAAACCGGGTCTTCAATCGAAACACCATTCAATGTACGTCACGGTCAAGAATACCCACACCACTTTTTATTTTTTATTTTTCGTTTATCTTTTTTTTTTTTCTTTTTACAAATACGTATTGAGTGTCCATTAAAAGCATGAATCCTGCACAAAAGAACAAGGTTGATGTCAGTGTAAGTAACAGTTTTTTTTCGTGAAAAATAAAAGAAAAGGTGAAGCAAACAGAGATATTTACAGACCTTCCTTTTTTTATATATATTATTCACACACAGCAATTAAGCGAAGAAGAACAAAAGTTATTTCGCATGTATGGTAAGCTTCCTGATCGCAAAGATCTCTTGGGCCATAAACTCAAGGTAAGACGGGTGAGAAAGTTAGTCATGAAAGTCAAGTCAACTGACAACGAGGATGAATTAGGAACGTAAATACTTTGATTCTGGCGATTATGCACTTTCAAAAGCAGGTAAAGAACCCTTAGCAATAGGTTCTGAACATCCTTCACCTGATACTATTCCCCACTCGAACCCTATATCTTTGCCTGGTTCTAGTCCAGTTAAAGAGAGTCCTCTCGTTTCAGAGACTGATAATGAAACCAAGTAAAAAAACTCTTCAAAAAAAACTGCATTTCTCTTCTCATATCTCTCCTTTCTCTCTCTCTCTCTCTCTCTTTTTTTATTAACTATTACTATTGTTATCACTAAATAAATTGTCCAGCCCAGTTTTCAAGATGAAATAAAAAGGGTGATTTACCAAAGTTAAGATGGATGGTAGCAGGACCATCTACACCAACACTAGGAAAGTAATGATGACGACTTAAACCTGTAAAAGCATAGTCTATCATCGTACCGTTTTTAGTGAAAAAGACATGACCCGTGTCGGGACAGTAACCACAGCCTACGGTATCTCCCAATCCCCAGCTCGGACCAAACTCTTGTCCACCCGTGGCATCATCGCAAAACTTGTGACCATCATCACTATGATACCCCACCGAGAATTTATTCCAACCTGGCATACGAAAGATGGGGTAAGGTCGTGTACTGAGACCAATCGCCATCACGACCTCCCCTCGTGCTTGTTTCACGGTCATTTCAAAATAATGCTGTGTAGGCACATCGTTGTAGATGGTTTGTGGGTTGTATTCCCGTAACGTTAAAAATGGATGCGAAGCTTGTGCCGTCACATCCAAATCAATGAGTGGTCCATATTGGACACCAGGCCAAAATTGGACCTGATCACCCGAGGTTATAAACGCAGGATTACCTTTAGGATGAGCAAACAATTGATTCTTTTGAATGCTCGTATCAATATGCATACAACGAAGAAATCCGTACTGCGCTACTTGTTGTGCTTCTTGGCTGGGAAATCTGTCCAGTTGGGAACTGAAAGCTTGAATAAACATTTCTCCTCGTTCATAAGAGTCTAATGAAGCATCTTGGAATTTACCAAATTGATGTACTTGCGCATTCGGTGTCAACGTTGATTGAAACGCATGGTCGTAACTAGGTGGTTCTTCTTCAAAGTCTTTATTGTTCATTCCTTTTTTTTTTTTCGGGTTGCTTAGCAATAGAAAAGAGAGAAACTTGGTTTACGCGGGAAAGGGGGAATATTTATAAGCCCAGAAAACGAGAAAAAAAAAAGATTACGTAGCATGTTGTAAATGATATAGTAGTAATAAAGAAAAAAAAAAGGGAAGATAATAATACAATAACAAGATAGGTTGCTAATATTTAGGATGTTCAAACACGGCACTCTTTTGAATATCGGCTAAACTTTTAACTCTAGTAAATCGACCAGCATGTTTAACAGAGGTACCATCTTCTTCTAATTGGCGTTGTAGTAAGACTTCACCTAATCTTCTTCGTTTTAATTCTTCTTGTTCTTGTTCTTCCAATGAAGTGTTCCAATCATTGGCTGATCTTCCTAGGGTATTTCGAAATGTATCTGCAAGTAAGACGGCATCGGTGGAAGAGAGTTTATTACTGCTGTCATAGCCTGCATAAGCCAAGGTTCCAATACTCGATGCATTTTCACCCGCACTAGCTGTCGTCATGGGCACGCTGTCTGTGGATCGGAAGGCAGTGACTTTAGTTTGTGAATTAATCGAACCGTTATAACCTCCCTTTCCTGTGTTACGAGCTGCACCAGAGATAGGAATTAGCTTATTATTACGTTTGTTTCGACGTGATATTAAGACGGCCCATATCAAGGCAGCCACACCGCAGATGAATGCAATGACTGCAATCACAATCACCGCAATAGCCCAGCCAGGTAGATGTGAAGATGATGCGTATGCGTTGTTGTTGTTGTTATTATTATTATTGTTGTTATTATTATTGCTATTGTCGTTGTTCTCGTTGGAGTTTGTTGTTGTTGAATTGGTATTGTTTGTATTTACAGCAGGAGGCGCCAGTTCTTTTTATATGAGGGTGAGTTTTACGCTGCTTAATAGATAAAAAAAATAAAAAACTTACGGACGACGGTAAAGTTGAAGGGTCGCGGAAACATACTGATTGGACTGGAGATTTCGGTATATGGACTGTAGGTGGGAGGTAAGTAAAAGGCAACCATTGTTAAATTAGAGGGAGGGGAACCGGCAGGTAATGGGTTGAGGAACCAAGAATCATCGACCGTGACCTCTACAGAACCTGAAGCTCTGTCTAGATCCGTGTAATTTTTTACGCTCACGTATTCGTATTTTATAATGTAATACAAGTAAAGACTAATTTGTTCCTATCATTTAAAGTTAAATATACACTGCTTTTTTTTAAAAAAAAAAATATAAATAATAATTTCAACTTACATAACCCACATAAAAAGGATAACTATAAAGACAGAAAAGATACGTAATCAGTAAAATAGAGGATAATGAATTTTTTTTTTCTTCTTGTACATGTTTTTTTTTTGTATTTACTTGAAATTCCAAATGAAATTATGTGTGGATCCATTTGTCCAGACGTCTGTGGATAATGGATAACAAAAAGGGAACTGATTACCTGAATCAGAACATTCTTGAACTTGGTCTGAAGTTTCTTTATTAAAGTGTTATTCTTGATTATACAAAGTAACTTTCTTTTTTGTCACATACCACTTTGCATATGTATTTTAGGCAACAACAACAAAAAAGAATTAAAAAAGAAAAAGAGAGCAAAAAAAAAAAAAAAGAGGATTACTTTAACGAAATAAATTTAGATTATTATAAAAAAAAAAAAAAAAAAAGATAAAAATAGACTTGTAACTTTTTTTTTTTTGAGTGATGTGTATATAAAAATGAGGTATACAGAAAAAAGAGTGAGAACTCTCAAGAAAGAACAAACAAATAAATAGGAGAAGAAGAAGACAAAGATGCCCGGGAGCAAAAAAAACAGCTCTAGGTAAAGGGACATAAAAAAAAAAGGGGAGCCCTCATTAAATTGGGGTGTGTAATACAAAAAAAAAAAAAACTTAATATTCCGATTTCAGCTCCTTTCCCTTTCTGCTTTAATAGAAACATTTAGTTTTTGTCAGCTTCAATACCTTTTTTTTTTCTTTTCTTTTTTTTTTTCTTTATAAAAAAAGGCTCACTCGTTTAGGATGAAGTCGTATTTAGATCAACAAAGCAAGTTGGCAATTCATCATAATTTGTTTATTACACTGGATCTTGCGCCAGCTGGTACGGTTTTATTGACACAAGCACCACTGGCATCGGTGCCGTTACCTTCGGAACAGCTCCACCGATGTAATTACTGTTTACGAAAAGGGAATCTTCAATGTTGCTCAAGGTGTCATTCCGCTTATTTCTGCAGTAACGATTGCTTTTTAAATGCATGGATCAGTTTTCATAGAGCCTCTTGCCAACCTTCTTCTTCTTCCTCCTCCTCCTCCTCAAATAACTCCCTTTCAGTAGAGAATGACGTGCATCTTCAATTATTACAACGCGCTGCCCTGACACTCGACAGTCACACTACCACCACCACCGCCAAAAAAAGTACTCCGATCTTACAACAACATGGTGTCGCCATCCATGCATTCAATACTCTGGAATTACAACCCACTACAATGACACAGGAAACTAGACTCTTTCTAGAAAAATCCGTAAATATCACCAATCGGAGTCTAGATGAATTATATCAACTTTGGAAACGGGTCCAAATCTCCTCTTTCCCCATCACGGACCCGGATACCCATCTGGACACCGTGGCCATGGGCATTTACCCCATTACCAGTCAATACGTGCGTCATTCATGTAGACCCAACACGGGTCTCATCTATAAACAGGGACATCAACTCCTGGTGGCATTAGAGGATATTCCGCAAGGCACACCCATCACTATCAGTTATGTCGATCTCATGGCAACCAAAAAGCAACGCCAACACGCACTGGCGGAAAGATTTGGATTTCAATTCGAATGTGACTGTGAGCGTTGCCAAGGAGATTTTCAAGGTCTAGATGTCTTATTTGAACGAGGGGAAGCCTTAAATATCTCATCGGAAGAGATTACAGAGACATTGGAGGAACAATTAAAATCATGGAGTATCTTGGGCATGATTCATGAATATGCTTCCAAAGGATTTGATGCATCCGCTATGGGTGATGAACCATTGGACGCACCTCATCTAACCCACTTTATCTGTCGAATGATTGTGCCCGATGTCTATATACCTGCATTCACATTAGCGAAAAGGAAACTATCGGCCGCTTTAAATCATGTAAAATTACCTCCGTTACGTCAAAAGCGATATAACCGACAAGATGATTCACAACGTATTTTACCGGCTATTGACGCATTATTAGCACACCAATCACATCAATCTCCCTTCTTCACCATTGTTGGTATCAAGGCAGCTGATAAACTTCTTTCGAGGTTAATCACACAAGGGAAATGGGTAGAGGCATCACGTTGTGCCATCTATATGTTTATGGTCTACCGTATGGTCTACCCTGCATTGTACCCAGAGATGGCCTATCATACTTTAATCATGGCAAGAACCTCCTGGAATAGTCTGGTGCAACTGGAATTAGCCGGTATCGGAAAGAAGTTAGAAGCCGTCTATCAAAACTCGGTTCAGCTATGGATTTCCGTCGCAAGTGATTCGATTCTCAAAATATTCGGTCAGGAAACTTTTCTTTGGCGAGAAGCTGTCGAGATCAAATGGCTCTTTGAGCGGGATCAGAAACTGAAATTGACTGAGTAGGTTTTACATGACTAATAATATTTTATAATTACTTTTTTTAATAAAAAAAAAAAACTAAGAGCCCCCGCGCGTACGCGGGAGCTATGTATGTATAATAGACTAAAAAAAAATGATTTCTGCCTTATTGTGATAAAATATGGGGGATAGGACGCTACTTTACACTAGCAAGTACTAATATCCGGCGGGGAAAATCAGAAAAATACTAAACAGGCGCTTGAAAAGGATATACAAGAAACTTGTACTAAACATTTTGACTTGATCAAAAGGCTTCTTTGTTTGTCATAGAGCACATTTAAAGTTACTACAAAGTACTGCGATAAATTGTGCGCGAGTAACGTTTTTTTTTTTTTTTTTTTTTTTTCATCAGTGTAAGTGCATATACACTTTAAATTCAGACAGGGCCAGTTTTCTTTTTTTAGACGAATTAAACTCATAATTCAAATGATGTTGATCCTTTTTTTCAATATGGCGATACAAAAAAATATAAGTATGTCTAAAACTAAACTTTGTTTAAATATGGCTGGAGTCCCATCTTTTTTGAAATTGTATAGATGCTTTGGAAGCATCCTTCAACTTTGGCAAGTAAGTATACAACTATTCAGGACAGTGATAGCTTTAGTAAAGTGCATCACTTTGCACGAATTATCTATATTTACGGATTATTTGTCAGAAGTATTTCAGTATGACCTTTCAAATGGGAAAGTCAACTATCCAAGTAGGCAATGAATCCCCTATAAGTTCACAGGATCTATTATTCCTGAGACTTTAACTTTTGATGAGTGCTATATCTATAGTGAAGCCATCTGTTCGAGTGAAGTTTGAAAAAAAAAAAGCAGCCTTTTAATTTTTAGTGGTACCTTGTTTCCATGCTAGATATTGCAATCACTGCAAAACTTTGCATTGAACCATTTGCTTTTTAAACTACGAGTGTAAAAAAGAAGCAAATGACTGATAATAAAACGTTCAGGACGATATTTTAAAGAATCCAATGAATTATTTAGCACGGAAAATGCATCAGATATTGCAATAATAACAACTCTCTCTTGCTCTTATCAACTGAAAAAAATCCTGCTCTCATTTTAATCGTGTTTTTGTATGTGTTTTCATGCTCTCCATTTATCAAGTACCAGTCAAGGTAAAAAAAAAAAAGAAAAAAAAAAAAAAAAAAAAAAAAAAACTACAATGACCGCCTTGACCGGAAAGAGATTTTTGTCTGCTGTCTAAAAAAAAACTTCTTATTTGCCTGATTAAAAAAAGGCTGAGTATGTTTAAATATGAGGGGAAACAAAAGGGAGTATCTAAAAAAAAAAAAAAAAAACGGGTAGATTTAGGAATATCAAGGATTTTTTTGACATGATCTCTTTTTGTTCAAGATACATGAAAGAGTAATCAAATGTATTACCCGTTCTTGATCTTTATATAAACACTTTTCTTCTTCTTTTAGACCCTTCTAGGCAGGGACAAATAACAGGCATTTCTTATGCAAATGATATGCGGTTCAGTTGCTTTTAATTAATGTATAAGCTATTGGGACGAATGATCGATTTATCATGTGCACTATCTGTTTGAAGATAATTATCCTTTTCTGCTCTCTCAAATGACCTTTGTTTCATTAGCTCTTGCTTATCTGATTCCACTGTCATTTTTTACCATGTGCACGTTTCAATCAATGAAAAGATAGCAAAAGAAAGAAATGACGAAGGGGAAACATAAAACGCTTCATGATTCTGTAACTGGATTTTTTTTTTTTTTTTTTTTTTTTTTTTTTGCGGTATACAATGATCTGTTTATATATGCGTTATTGAGTTTATAAATATATGATACACAAAGGCGGGGGTAGTGTGGAAACACATATCCAGTCAAAGAGAGATGTGTTGCTTATCCTTCGATACCACATTGCGAAGAAGAACATTCCGACGGTTAACTTTATTGACATTTTTTTAATAATTTTCATGTCGATTTAAAAGCACGAATTTGGCTTGTATTGTGTGAGACCAATTTTATTTCTGCTGAACAAGGATATTTGTATGAAAAGAAGTTTTGTTCCGAACTGCTCATACGTCTTTAAAAAAAAAGTGCTTCAAAAAAAGTGCCACTTATCTAGATAATGCCACAACTCCGTTCGACCGTGATCAGTAATGTGTGGGACAGCATGCTAAAAAATAAAAAAGAGGGCACAAAATACAACATTGTGTAAGAATAGGAGAGGAGGCGTATAGAAAGGTAAAGAAGTGAATAGACTGAATTAGAGCAGTATCACAAAAATGCTGTAAAATAGAAAAAGAGAACGAGCCAAAATTACCCCAAACGGAATATTTTATTATTCAGCTTTATCTTTTAAAACAACAAACAGGTAGTTTCAAACCATGTCTTCTTTGTTTCGGGGGGTAAAGTTGATCGGAGGTCGCTCATGGGTAAGGCATGACAATGGGAGAGATTGTTTGTTACGGATGGGTTCCATATATAAATAAATACTAATACGGGTTAAAACTGATCTTCTTCCCCCACAGTTAGAATTGTAGGAAACATTAAATATTTTTAGGCTTTAACCATGTATGTAAGTGAACCATCTTTTTGTCAAACCTTAAAAAGGGGACACACAAAAGAGATGTGTCTGTGCAGTACCGCGGGGCAAAAAAAAAAGGGTTTTATTTCATCCTTTTGTGTAAAGGTAGCTTTTGGGTTTAGTGTTGATTGCAACCTTACACCTTGTAAAACAAGGAATAAGGTTCTAACATATGAACAAACGTTAACAATATAGTTTAGTTCTTCCCGTACTCTAATACCAACAGATTAGAAACTTTGATGTTTTCCAAAATCAATGTTAATAGAAAAAAAAAAAGGCCACCACGGCTAAAAAGAAGCTGAGCCCTAAAAAACTTTTTTTTTAGTTGTGTGTAACTTTAGCGTATTCGTTTAGGAAGCGCCCAAATAATTAAAATTGACTAATAATCTTTTTTTACAAGCGGCGAAATAACGGCAAGCCTCTTTATTGGGCCTACTCAGACTGGGAACAAATGAATCACCCATTTACCAGAAAGTAACTTTTTACCGACAATTGATCCAGGAAAAGTATGTTTGCAAAAGTCTGCCTACAGAAGATAAAAGTAGCAGGAACAGAGAAAAGCTGAAATGCACAGGGAGAAACTCAAACCCGGAACTTTAATTGTCATGTGCAAAAGTCTTTACACCAAAATAGAGGAGAAAGTAAAGCTAGAGACAGGTTGATATTGGATTTAAAATAATAAGGAATTTTTGGGTGTTTGTAGTATTATATTAAAAAAAAAGTAGTAAATATGTGCGCTTATTTTTTCCATGAAAAATCTTTCTTAGAAGTAATGACAGAAACATTAAACCTTCTTTTTAGCGCAAGGAATTTACAAGTTATAGCATTTGTAATTTTTAATCAGTCGATAATAATTCAGCTTTTGCTAAAAACAATGAAGGTTGCACAAATTTACACCTTTTTTCGGGCATCTTGTGTTCACTTCTCCACATGGGAACAGGTGCAATGTAACCCAACATCGTTTTGGGAATATGATCAACGCGTAAAAAAAAAAGTAATTGTAAACGGTGGCATGTATATATACGAAATGATGCTTTGTCATAATAATAAACAAGATGTAGGTTGTGCATATAACGCACATTTAACTCTTCAAAAATACGGTAGAGGGCTTTGTTGGGTACAGCCTTCTTAGAAGGGAATTGTATCAAAACAAGTTAATCGAAGGGTATATCGGTGTGCATCACATGAGTCATTTTTGTAAAGATGATTCACCGCAGAGCAAAAAGGATATTAAAATCGATAATTAGCACTGTGCAGTCCGTTCCTGGACGTGTGTTTAAAAAGGTTCTTCGGATGTTTACATAAAAGATGTAAAACCTCTCTATCGGCCATTCACGGAAACATCGGAACACCAAAACTATATTCGTTTGGAGTAGAATGTTTCTTATTTTCGTGGATTTACCCCAGATTTACAAGAGCAAAATACGTCGATTTTAGAGTTATTCTTTTTGTAAATAACCACATAATTACAAGGTGACAAAAAGTCATGGCTTATCACATCCGCTACCCACTTAACAATTATCTTTTTTTTTTCTCCTGTTACACACATCCGTCATAAACTAAAAACTTTTTTTCTTGAAGCTCAATTTGAATCATAATACTTCTTTAATCTCCGATATATCTTATAACTTGCTTTTTTTTTTCTACACTTTTTGCTCTTCTTTTTTTTCTTTCAAATCATTCCTATTTGACCAAAATCTCTACACTTTTTGTAACGTCAAAACCCAATTCAGATACATCTATTTTTTTGACATTTTATGATCCAAACATATCCAGCGTACGAGATTATTGACATTCATTGAAACAATATCTCGCTCAATTACCACATTTTTTATCTAAAATTCTTTTTTTACATACACAAAATTATATTTCTTCCCTCTTCCTTCACAACCCCCCTAATCCTACATAACAACCTTACATATTAATTTTCATATAATTTATACATATTCACTATGAGCAACACATCACCTACTACATTATTACTCCAAGACCTTATCAGTGCACCTTCTAAAGCAGAATCAATTTTGGAATGCCTCACTGCTGATCAAATCATCATGATTGAAGACACAATTAATAGAATTAAGCGTAGAAAAATGGATAAATCGCAACTTCCTTCTCCCGTCGCCTCTCCTCCCACTGTATCAAAAGATATCATGATGGAAAACACATCCTCTGCTTCTGCCATCGCCAATGCCTTGGCTGCAGCAATGGTTTCAGCCGCGTTACAAGCACCTGCCGCCGCTGCTGCTGCTGCTGCTGCTGCCGCTGCCGCTTCTGCTTCTGCTGCTTCTGCCACCAACACCAACATGTCCGTTCACAATAAAACCGTGACTCCTGCCAAGACAGTCACCAACAATGTTACTTCCAATGATCCTATTGCTGAAGTCAAGGACGGTGTTGAATGGGTCTCATTCGTCTACTCTCACAACCGTACTTTGAAGCGTTACTCTATCAGAACTGATATTCAAAAAGTCGCATTAGATGTTGTTGACGATAAATTTAAAGCTGAAAATTGCGTAAGTTTTTATCCCGCCTCGTTCCATCGGTGGCTGAATCAAAAAGAAAAAGAAAAAACTAAACACTGTCTATATTTTTTTAGGTCTATCCCCGTGCTAATCTCCCCAAGGAAACCTACAAGGGAAATAGATGGTCTTATGAAACTGAGTGTAATGATTTAGGTTGGAAACTTGCATGGTTAAATAAGTCGGAAATTGCTGGTAAGCGTGGTTTGATTCAGCGCGCTGTGGACTCCTACCGTAATCGTTACCCAAGCATGCGATCAAGACGTGTCGCTCGTCAAGAAAAGTTATTGAATGGCACACTCCGCAAAAGAAAGAATAGAGAAGAAGACGAGGAATCTTCCGCCACGTTAAATGCTGGTTCCATTACGGGCGCCGCTCTTTCATTAAACTCAGCCAACCAACCTTCCACTTCATTAGAGGCTGCTACCATCAAGCCAGCCCATCAACCCAAGACTATCGCTATTGATGATTTAATCACTCACACTCGCTATCGTATCAAGATTAACGTGGAGACGATTTCTTTGGATGAAATTTCTGCTGATTTCCGTAAACAGAACTGTCCCTTCCCTAGAGCCTTCAACAACAATGATCCTGAGCAATACGTTGGTGGTCGTGCTAGATGGATCGAAGATACAATGTGCAATGAACTTTGCTGGAAATTGGTATGTACTACTACTACTATTACTACGGGACTAAAAAAAAAGTTGGCTTTTATTAACATATATTTTTGTTTCTATAGGCATATTTGAATCCTAGAGTGTTGGCTGGAAAGAAGAATTTGCTTCAACGTGCTTTGGATGTCTACCGTGCCAAGTTCATGCCCACTCTTCAGCCTCGTAAATATTCTTCACGCTCGCCTCCTGCTAGAGTGATTGAAACTCCTACGGCTACAATTGAACAACAGCAACTTCTCAAGATGATGCCTCCTACCATGTCTACACCATTGACTGCCTCTGCTCTTTCAGCTCAAAACGCGCTATTCGAACAAAAGAAGAAGACAAAGAAGAGTAAGATCAGCCACAAAACCACAGGTTCACCTGTTATGTCCTGTGCCAGCGGTACAACAGCATCTCTTGACTTCGGTGATTGCTTCTCGCTGGACGATGAAGTACCTCATATTACCACTACTACTAATTCTAATAATAACAACACCATCAAGTCAATCAACCTGACAAGTTTACCTCGTCAAATCGATCAAGACCCTATGATTTCACCATCCTATGACTCCATGTACGCCGATGCTCACTTCTCACCTTTTGATGAATCCATTAGCTGTCATACTTCCTCATCCTCGTCCAACAGTATTGCCTGTACACCAAGTCCACCCGTGACAGCCGACTTTTTTGGTTTTGCCGACGCCGATCTTTATGACTCGTTCATGTTACCGCCCGTCAATGATACGTTTATGTTGCTTGATTCCAACAATAGCGACATGAAATGTTATGACTCCCTTATGTCTCCTTCCCTCCCATCCAGTGCTGTTCAACAGCAAGATCTGGTGAAACTGGAAGAAGATTTCCAAGACAATTTTGCTGCTGCTGCTCACTTATTGGATCCTCTTTTCTAAATTCCTTTTTGACATCTTTCTCCTCATCTAATATCCGTGTAAATATTTCTATCACTCCCCCTCACCCGTATATCATAAAATCATACTTTTAATTATCTAAACCCAAAAATCCCTACACAACCCCCCCCCCTCCCCAAAAAAAACTCTTTTTTCTTAGAATCTATATGTACAACTTTTCCCACCCCACTCTCCCAAAAATAACCTTTTTTTATTTTATTTTACTTCTTATATACACCTCAAGTTAACCGACAATCTATGTTGACTATTTATTATTTTTCTCCCTCATCTTCTGTATAAAAAAAAAAACCTCAATAAAAATTCATTTGTCTTCATTTTTCACACTTTAAAAAAAAATGGTTTGTTTGTTGTTGTGGCGTTTTTTCTTTTTTGTACAAGCACTTAAGAGACCAAAAACCTTGTTGACAGGCCCCCTCTTTTCTTTTTTCTTCTTCATTTTATAAAAAAAGATGGTTAGAACCAAAAACAACTGATTGATTTACTCGCAACGAAAAATAAATCCCAGGATTTAATCAAGGGTAACTTCCTCTGGAAAAAAAAATTCTGCATATTTTGTTTATTTATTAATGTTTCAAGTCTCATAGCAACTGTAGAGGATGGTTACAAGATATCGGAAATTTTTGCTCCTCATGGACCTACCAGTCCTTTACCGGCCATGATTATACACGACGAAAAGGTAGAATAAACAACTGCTTTTTTTTTTTGGTGCCAATGATATTGACTCTTCTCTTAGATTCAACATCCTTTCTCGTTATCTATACCATCACCGGTTTCAGAAAGGTTCGCGAAATGAACAGTTACTGGCTAAATGTATCTTACCCTGCTTTTATTTCAATAGTAAATTAAGCTTTGAGCCTCCTTATGTCATGAACAATTTTTGGCCACCACTGCCGTCGCTTAGTGACACCACTCTATCCACACAGGATGCCACGGGTAAAAAGTTAGGTGCCATGTTTAGCAATATCAACATGCAAGAAATTCAGGAAATGCTCAAAGATTGTGCATACAACGAGGTAAGCATTCATCTACATAACAACAAAAATATCGTCTCTTCTACTAATCCCAAAAACAAGGATGAAGCGATTTTACGCTTAATCACGCAGACGGACTATTTAGAAAATATACGTCATCGTCTTCGTGCCAATAACAAAAGTAAGCTTATCTACTTTTACAATGCAAAAAAAGACACTGATGTTTTGGGTCTGTTTTTTTATATAGCCGTTCCTTGGTGTAGTCAGATCAAACCATTGCATATGTCACCAGTACAGCAAAAGCCACCAGTACAACATATCTTGAAAGAAAACAGTATTCGACTGAGTTCGCAGATGCCACCTTCCCAATACATCGTACCAAAATCTGTCATAGTATCTAAAAGCACGCCTCTTACAGAGAATGTTTTACATAGCACGCCGCTACCTCCATTGAATACAGACATTGCTCAACAAACCGCGGTGCCCAAAAAAGAAACCCCGCCTCAAGTCGTCAAAGAAGTTGTAAAAGTAAACGTTTGTTGTTATGTATACATCACTATTTTAGTTGTTAACCTTTTTTTTAAAAAGCCACCGCCATCCAAACCAGCAAAAAATGAACTGGCGGAACACCAACACAAGACGCATAAAAAACATCATCGATTATCGACCCATATCAGTAGCGGTAGTCGACTTACTCTGGACGATGCGTTACAGCAAATCCAAGATAGCAAAACAAACGACGACATGGATGGGTACGCAGGATGGTCTGCAGCACGTCTGCGTGCATTTAAAATGATTGAAAAGAATCCTAATAGCTATTATTATCGATTTAACGCCCCCGGAGAGCAGCAGAAAAAGGGTAAATGGACAGACGAAGAAAACGCATTGTTCTTACAAAGGCTAAAACAAGTGGGAGCCAATTCTCAATGGGGTATATTTTCCATTGCCATCCCCGGAAGGGTAGGCTATCAGGTAGTGTGGCCTCATTGTTTGTTTTCTTGATTATTCATCTAGGCACTTTTTTTTTAAAAACATTTATAGTGCTCCAATTATTACCGATTTATGATCGAAACAGGACAATTGCATGATCCGAATTATGTCTTGGATAGCAAAGGAAAAGCACGTTATCTCTTTGATAAAAAAACAGAGGATGGTGCAGTAGAGAAGATATTCAGGAAACACAGTAAACATGGTAGTATATCAGCAGCAACCGCTGAAACACTAGATCATATCGACAGTGACCACACTGTGAAAAAAAGGAAGCAAATACATCCTCGACAAGAAACCCATTCGGATGAGGATGACCCTACTTTTGACATTAGGAAACCATCATCGTCCTATTCTAAAAAAAAATCTTCGGCGGTAAAAGAACCCAAGATTAAAAAACCATACCCTCACATACTGCCCGCAGATAGTAGTGTCAGGATGACAAGGCAAAGATTACAGCAAGTACAAGAGACGAGCGTTACAAAAGATTAAATCTATATAATACCCCCCCCCCCCTGCTATAATAAATGGGTGCTCTAAGTTAATAATCATGACTTTTTTTGAAAAGTCAAGCGATTTTGACAGTTTCGGAAACCAAGAACATTTGTTTTTTAGTTTTTTTTTAATATGGTGACAGCTACATTTTAAAAAACAGAAAGTCTAGATACATGACATGTTGTCTAAAATAACAACCAACTGTGAGTATTGAGTAAAGTTTAGTAAAGCTATCATTTTTATCGAAGGCATTCTATGATAATGTTTTTGCTTTTGCTGCATGGAATATCGAATGACGAAATCCAAACATTGATAGTATGCGTATCATGACAAGAAGTTTCTCTAATGAAAAATTTCAATATGCGCTCTTCAACAGACCTTGCTTCAAATCTGGCCTGGTAATGGGTTACAAATGAATTGCATTCCCGATAAAAATTACGCTTTTCGTACCACAATCATTTTATACAAGTTTCAGGCACGATGATTAAAGAAGTACGTAAGTTCACCAAGCATTGCCGAGCTGCTGCTTTTCTTTCATTTGTCCTCTTTTTTTTTGGTATTGAAAGTCTGTAAACAACATGCCCGAGTAAGCAAATAAAACATTACATCCTATGTTGCATAATTGAAATGTAAGGTTGATATTTTTCTGTGGTTTGTTGGGCAAAATGTAATGGTTCAAAGTCCCGTCTGACGGACTTTGTAGTTTTACAAAGATACTCCTCCACACTTCCCTTTAATAGATAAATGGGAGTCTCCGTGCGCATTTACCCGTCGTGCACTATTGGGACTAGTCAAATCTAGATCTCGATAATATTTATTTCGGCTTTTGATAATCAAATCGCGATATTGCTGATAATACACTATCACTTGGAGTTATACTAAACGTCTTCTGCAATGATATGTAATGCCAAGAAGGAAATATTTTGGCTATGCGAAATCTTCTTCAACAACAATTTCAAGAAACTTGTCCCATTTTTTTACATGAATTTCCCGTGGGCGGGAAAGTTTTATTGCGATGAGTGTACCGAGTGTTTAAGTTCGAAACTACCAGATTCTTGTGGCACCGGCTATCATGAGGAAAGCCTGACTACTAAAGAAAGTACTGTTTAAACAACATATTATGTAGCATCCTATCAAAAAATAAACTCCCATATGTCACACTGGTTAATTTATGCATACTTTATTAAGCTTTCATTACGGTTTGGAAAAAAAATGTACACAACCAAAAAAGAACCCCAGAAAATGCAAAATGTAGGAGTTTAATGTTTTGTCAAATGTTGAATATTGTTGCTAAAAAAATTATGTTTACCAAACACTGAATGTTAACAAGATAATAACCGTCATTGATATTTTTGGTAATATTAACAAGTTTATTTTCGGCCCCCTTCTATATGCCCAATTGATATAGACGATAGCAGAAAACTGATGATTATATAAGTGACACAAACAATCTGAATAAAAACGGTAACAGATTCGCTTGTTTAATTGGATATCAAAAAATTGTAAATACGGCCCTTCGATTTTTTGTGTGGGAAAAGAAAGTCTGATAAAATCAAGAATCGCAAATTGGTTCAGGGAAAAAAAGGTTGTTGTGCGAAAAATGATAAAAGAGACAAAAAAACAATAATAAATAAAGATCTATAAAAGGTAGTACATCCGATAACCTGTCCCTTGTTTGATCATGGTAGCATCACCAATACGCTTGGTAAAAAAAATAGTTAATGTGGTTATTTTTTCTTTTTAAAAAACAAAAACAATGGTAGAAAGAGTGAGGATCAACTATAAATAAATCTGGACCATCAACCTTAAGTTTACATGGTGATACACGCCTCACTTTACACGTATCTATTCGGATAGATTTATAAAACCTCCTTCTTGGTAAGCTCTTGTGTAATTTACTGCCTTTACATCGATTAGATGTCATTAGATTAGAGACAGAAAGGATGCATTTGTTCTATTATTATGCTAATTAGGATTGTCCAAACATTCCGTTCAATTTGTTCCTATCTATTATCAGTTACGTAATATTTGATATCTACACATAATCATGCACACATGAATTGTATGCTCATAGGTTTTTTTTTTTGTTGTTGTGTGTGTGGAAATAGGTATCAAAGATTTGAATCTATTTGCATTGTTATTCACTACGATTTCTAGGTCACATCCAGAAGAAAATATCAGTAAGTTCGTGAGAAAGGTTACACCATTGTACTAACCAAATCCCAATCAAGTCTTGATTCTTGTTGGGGGTAAATCAGATCATGACGTTTGTATACAAGGCAAAGATTTTTGGTTTTTCTAATAAAAACCTTGCGAAAAAAAAAAATTATTTTCTTGTTCTTTTCTCTTTTCATCCGATTTTTTTTTTAAAAACAAAAAAAATTACACACATGTCTGCCGATACTCCACAAAAAGATGTTTACAACCCGCTCTTATTTGAAATTGCTTGGGAGGTAGCCAATAAAGGTATATAATATGAGACGCGTTTTTGTTATTGTTACTTAAAAAATCACGTTTAGTTGGTGGTATTTATACTGTTATCAAAACAAAGGTGCCAGTTACTGTCCGTGAATTTGGTGACCGCTACTGTTTGATCGGTCCTTTGTCTTACAAGACAGCCCCAATGGAGGTGGAAGCGCTTGATCCTCCTGCTGGTATCATCCGGGATACTCTGGATATCATGTCTTCTCAAGGCGTAAAATACTTGTTTGGTCGATGGTTAGTTGAAGGAGCTCCCTATGTGCTTTTGTTCGATACAGGTAGTGTCTTTGATCGCTTGGATGAATGGAAAGGGGATCTCTGGCGTGTAGCAGGTATTCCTAGTCCTCCCAGTGATCAAGAAACCAACGAAGCTATTTTGTTTGGTTATATGGTCACTTGGTTCCTTGGTGAAATCTCAAAAAAGGTATTATCATTTTTTGCTTAAATTTCAGGAAGAAAAAAAAAGAATTGACTTTGAGTGTATTTGGTGTAGTACAATGAACAAGCATCTTTACCCGATTCACCAGCACCGGCTATTATTGCTCATTTCCATGAATGGTTAGCTGGTGTGGCTATTCCTCTGATCAAGAAGCGTAAAATTGATGTTACAACTATCTTCACAACACATGCTACGTTGTTGGGACGTTATCTTTGCGCTGGTTCGGTCGATTTTTACAATAATCTTCGGGATTTTGATGTCGACCATGAGGCTGGTAAACGTGGTATTTATCATCGCTACTGTATTGAAAGGGGTGCTGCACATTGCTCGGATGTTTTTACAACTGTAAGTCATATTACTGCCTATGAAAGTGAGCATCTTTTGAAACGTAAACCAGGTATGTAAAAAAAACCTATAACTTTTTGTTGGCCCTTTTAGAAGACAATAATAATAACTTTTTTTTTTTGGGTAGATGGCGTATTACCAAACGGTTTAAATGTTGTAAAGTTCCAAGCTGTTCACGAGTTCCAAAACAAACATGCCTTAAATAAGGAAAAGATCAATGATTTTGTCCGGGGTCATTTCTATGGTCATTATGATTTTGATTTGGACAACACTGTTTACTTTTTCACTGCTGGTCGTTACGAATATCGAAATAAAGGTGTTGATATGTTTGTAGAATCTCTTAGTCGTAAGTGGACAATGTTCTTTTTTTTTTTCAAAAAAAAAAAAAAAAAAAAAAAAAAAAACTAACTTTAAATAGGTTTGAATGATCGCTTAAAGGCTGCTAAATCAAACACCACAGTTGTCGCTTTCATTGTTATGCCCGCTGCCACAAGATCTTTCAACGTTGAAGCTCTTAAGGGTCAAGCTGTTACAAAGCAATTAAGAGAAACCGTGAATGAAATCCAAAGTCGCATTGGTAAGCGCATTTATGAAAGTGCTTTAAGAGGAGGAGAATTGGATACAGCTGAATTCTTGTCAAGCGAAGATAAAGTCCTTTTGAAACGTCGTGTGTTTGCCTTGAAAAACCAAAGCTTGCCTCCCATTGTTACTCACAATATGGTTGACGATGGTCTTGATCCTATCATTAATCAAGTAAGAAGACTCGGTTTATACAACAAGCCTGAAGATCGTGTCAAAACAATTTTCCATCCTGAATTCTTAAACGCTAATAACCCCTTATTGGGCCTTGATTACGAAGATTTTGTTAGAGGTTGTCATCTTGGTGTTTTCCCCTCTTATTATGAACCTTGGGGTTATACTCCTGCTGAGTGTACTGTGATGGGTGTACCTTCTATCACAACAAAGTAAGTTGGTATTTAGTGTCTCCATAGTAATCATCCCCGACTCATTTCTTTCTTCTACAATAGTTTATCTGGTTTTGGTTGTTTCATGGATGAAAATATCGAGAATTGCGAGGATTATGGTATTTATATTGTGGACAGACGTCTTAAATCTGTTGAGGAGTCCATTCAACAATTATGTGAGCAAATGTTCAGATTTTGCCAAAAGACTCGTCGTCAACGTATCAATCAACGTAATCGTACTGAGAGATTATCAGACTTACTGGATTGGAAGCGTATGGGATTAGAATATATCAAGGCTCGTCAATTAGCATTACGTCGTGTATATCCCGATTCATTTGTCGATGACGAAGAAGAAGAAGAGGTAGCGATAAAAAAGATCCCCAAGCCCTTGTCTGCCCCTGCCAGTCCTCGTATACGTAACTTAGTCAATGGTTACTTCAATGGCCAAAACGACGAAGATGATGAAGAAGATGATTTGGCTATTCCTTTGGCAAGAAAAGAGTTCCCTGCTCTTAATAGAAAAGGAAGCGAAGGCGACTCACGTGAAGCAGAACTGCTGAGAGAGGGTGATATCATGACATTAAATAAGCTTACTTTGGAAGAGAAAAAGCAAAGACATCATTAATTGCTGTAACAGAAAGCATAAAATATCCGTACATACATAATACATGAATAAAACAAAAATATCTTTTTCGGCGCTAAATGTATTTTTTTATTTGAGCTTAAAAATGCACTTTTTGTCACAGATCTAAAAGATAGTGACCCAGTCCCCAGACAAGTTTCCTTTTTAACCTCTTTTGCTAATCTTTATAATTATTATGTGTACCTCTAGTGAACCTCTTCCTGTTACAGTATTTACTGGATTCTTGGGAAGTGGTAAATAACTACTTTAAGAAATAGCAGTGAAACTTGGTCTAACTTTTATTTACCTAGGCAAGACAACCCAAATTTTAAACTTGTTACGTCGTGTACCGGAAGACTACAAAGTTTGTTTGTTGAAGAATGAATTTGGTGACATAGCTGGTAATTCATTACACTCTTGATCCTACTTCAATAGCGTATTAATTATACATCACACAAAGTTGACAGTCAATTGGCTAAAGAAACCAATGTCGGTGTACAGGAGATGGTAAATGGTTGCATGTGCTGTGTTCTTGTTGGCCAAATGAAGCTAGCTCTTGAAGAATTAAAAGGTAGTATTAACGCATGAAGTCTATAGAAAGTGAAGAACTGATTTTTATTTATTATGCAGAAAAATATAATCCTGATAGAATTATCGTCGAAACCAGTGGTTCTGCTTTTCCTGGTAAGGATAAGGATATTGTTAGATAGTTTGGCAAGTATAGAATTTGATATATTTCAATTTTTAGCACCAATTGCATGGCAAATTCGTGAGATGGCGGACGATGGATTTTTGTTAGATTCGATTATTACAGTAGTTGATTGTGAGAACTTTAAAGGATATGAAGATACTAGTTATACAGCCAAGTTACAAGCCCAATATTCCGATGTTATTTTACTCAACAAGCATGAATTGGTCAACGAACGTGAATTGGATGATGTAATTGATCACATCAACGTTCTAAACACAGATACACCCAAAGTCAAGTGTGACAAAAACGGTGTTTCCCCTGACCTTGTCTTTGGTCTGGATACCCCGCTCTTTAAAGTCGGTTATAACAAGAACAAAACATTGGAAGATAATGTGTTTGATCCCCATCATCAAGAAAATGAGGTTGATTTGATTCAAATCCTTCAATCTGTCAACGATAAAAAAATGAACCGTGAAGGGCTAGAGGCTTTCCTGAAATCTATGCCCAAAGATGACATCTATCGCATCAAAGGTTTCGTTCGATTGGATGACGATAAATTGTATATTATCAACCACGCATTTAGTCGATGGACTCTTACAGCTGTCCAAAACGAGGATACTTTGGAGAATACCAAGGATGTTCAGATTAGAATAACTGTCATGGGTCAGGATCTTAGAATGTACACTGAAAAAGTGAAAGTTCTATTAAATGGTGAGGAAGGTGATGTAAAATTGACTCCTGCCCACCGTCATTAGATTTATAGAATGTATGTAGTGAATATTATAATTAATCAATTTGTAAAATTAAAATTAGAATTGAACAATGACACTATACGTTTTATCGTGTGTTTGTGTCATGAAACATTAAGCACCTTCACTAAAACAAAGTAACCAATGCTACTCATGAAGTACATTATTAATTCAAAACAGGCTGTTTCTTTGAAACAATCTGTATTTAAATCTATGTACTTGCTTAGAGTTGACAAGCATGTCTTGTTAGATTAATTGAGTCTTCGCTAAAGATACAATTAAAATGAATCTGTTGTGTGATTTTTATTCCATAAGTGAACCTTAAATTTTAATCTGACATTGCCAAAGTCTACACAATCGAATTGAAAGAGACAAGTATAGATATTGTGCTTAGTTTTAGATTTCATTGGAAGAGCTGTACCTTTTTTATTAAAACAAAACTATAACCAGAGTTGTACAGCTTTACTCACATTCTTACAAGTAAATATGAGATCAACGTAACCAATGAGTTAATATCCTTTGATGAGCTTTTAAAAATGTATAAAATATTATACTAATTTTAAAGAAACGAACGAAAATGCTAAAAATATGTCTTTCATTAATACTATTAGTTCAACAGGGACAATAAATGCATATTCGTAATCTATTTTTATTCCGTGATTCGGCATTATTTGTCAGCACAGAAACTCGTGGTGTGAAGGAATCAAGACCCACCTGATGTAAAGCTATACTGATATGACAGGTGCGACCAAATAATATGGCCTTGTTCAGCCAGCTTATAAAATTATTCGTGTAAAGACTAGATAAAGAGACTTTAACCAATGCATCTATAATGGTAACGATAGGGAACAGAAAAATATTAAGACGAAAAGCGTTTCACCCTGTCTCTATGTACACCCGTTGTTGTGTCGCTACGAGGAAGAAACAGAACGACGATCTGCTTTTGTTTTCACATACGTTAAAGCATTATGTCTGTTACATTGATACCTCGTTTTATGTCATAATCAGCTTTAATATCGATACAAATATAAGTGTTGAGACACTGATGAACAGTCAGTTGCTGTCATGAAAGTGGTAATTAAAAACACATTATATTTTCTCAAGTTCACGTTAAAATATGACAAAACATTTCGAGGAACATCTTTTATTTGTTATCTGCTTTTTTTTTTATATCTGTATTATCAATAGTGAACATGTCACTTGCGAAAATGTCGATTAACGATTTCATATGACTATAATGCGAACCACATGTCTCACATAATCAAAAGACCCTGTCCTTACAAAGTCTAATCTTAATAACGGCGTCAATTATTTATATGTTAAAACAGGGTTGAATAAAAGCGTTCAGGGTGGTGATAAAGTTATGATCAGAGGGGATGATAGACGGGGACGGGGGAAGTATTACATAATGTTATTTTTTGAAACGCCCATGGGAAACTTTGTCTGTTTGTTTTTTTTAAAAAAAAAAAAAATGACAATAATTCTGCAGTAGAGATAAAGATATTGTGCATTGCATTCAAACTCTCATTGAAAATACACGTTTGATAAAATGGAGAGATTACCATATATGGATATTTGTTATGGTAGTCCCCGCCCTTTTTTCTGTCAGACCTTGGAAGAAGGAAACGGGCATGAAAATGTATTCCGATGAGGCTCATCACATAATAACAAGACCCAAAAAAAAAGGAGATAATTATAAAATAGTCTAATTTAAATATCTATCTATAATCACATTCTCTTCTCTTCTCATTTTTCTTTTCTTTTATTTTTCATTTTTTTTTTTTTTTTCATTAAAAATATTAATATGTCGGCAGCAGTTATTCACCCAATTCACGATGCAAATAACCATCAAGTATTGGCATTATTAGATAATTCTTCTTGCTCTTCTGAGGAAAGACAGGATGTAATTATTATGACAGAAGAAGAGGAAGCAGTACAGAAAAAACAAATCCTCAATTATCTGACTAAACCATCATCCATGTCATCATTCACAACTACTCCCAAACGTCCAGTACCACGCCTTGGTCCATTTTTACTATTGAAGACTCTGGGTGTTGGAGAATTTGGTAAAGTGAAAATGGGCAGACATTACGAAACAGGACAAACAGTAGGTATAAGTTAGCAATCATTTAATTCTTTGTACACTAAATAAGCACAATAAAAGGTGGCTGTCAAACTTGTAAAAAAAGAAAATATCGATTCATCCTCACAGCTAGAAAAAATTCGAATGGAGATTGATATATTAAAGGTAACAAAAAAGGAATCCGCAAAAAAAAAGTCGATAAATAAATAATAAACATCACATGAATTAGACATTGAATCACCCATACATTGTCAAATTATTAAGTGTAAATGAAACAAATACTTGTATTGGGATGGTGTTAGAATATGCACAAGGTACATTATAAGTCAACGTTAACATTGCAGTGCCTCATTTTTTTTTTCCAAAAAAAAAAGGTGGAGAATTGTTCGATTACATTTATAAGCAAAGATATTTAAAGGAACATGAGGCACGTCGACTCTTTTCACAATTGATAAGTAGCGTTTTCTATATGCACCAAAAGAATATTGTTCATCGTGATTTAAAACTCGTAAGTTATTTATAATACACACGCGTGTAACCCCAAACGATACGAAAAGCTATTCGAAATGTTCAACTCTCTCTATTTACTATGATTAGGAAAATATACTTTTGGATAGTCACGGCAACTTAATCGTAACGGATTTTGGTTTCGCCAACCAATTTACGCAAAAAACAGGTGATTTAATGTCTACCTCGTGTGGATCTCCTGTATATGCAGCTCCTGAACTTGTTATGACGGGTACATTGTATGCTGGTACAGGTGTTGATATTTGGTCATGTGGTATTATACTATATGCTATGCTTTGTGGTTATTTACCGTTTGATGACGATATAAAGAACCCTAATGGTGATAACATTGGACGATTGTATCGATATATTATGGCAAACAAACCAAAATATCCAGTGCATTTATCAGATGACTCAAAAGATATCATCGGCAAAATGTTAATTCCCGACCCCAACGCAAGATGCAAAGTGGTGGACATTATGAATCATCCCTGGTTAAGTAAATATAAAACCCAGATTACAAAACCAGTACATGAATTGGAGCTGGAAGGACAAATTTTGAAACAATCTTTGCTAAAAGGGATTGAACCTAAATCGATACAAGAGGACGATGATTATGTAGAGGATGTTTGTTGTGATCAAGACGAGGATGTACAAAGTAGTGCATGCTCTGCTAGATCTTCGGTTTCTTCAACTTACTCATTTCCTCCCTCCTACAGTAACACGAAACGCGCCCATAATGACGATAACATGATCACTGAAGAACGTCAGGATCAACATTTAATGGCAGATCATGTTTCATCTCCACCTACAACACCTATTCCATGTGCCAAAGATATCAACTCGCTTACAGAAACTATTGAAGAATTTCCAACAACAATCACAAACGATCCAATTTCATCAAAATCAACTAAAGAGCCAACAACTACAGATGCAGTCATAGTGCCTGTGGCTGTATCACAATCAAGTTCTCAGATACAACAATCAAGTTCCAGCATACAAAAATCAGGTATTTCTGGTCCTCCTTCTTCTGTTAACGTAAATAAAAAGAGACACACCATTAGCACAACAACACCACAAGACTCAAGTATGCCACCTATTCAGTATTCTTCTCTGAGAGCAAAATTATTCTCAAGCGTGAAAAGACGTAATCATAGTGAAACGGCGATCAAAGAAGACACTGTCAAGGAAGTACAACTTAAAAAGAAGACCAACCGGAATTCATGGCAACAAATCATACATAGACACACACATAACAGCCATAGTCCTAACACCTTGCCAGTATCCCCACCTACATCACCTATAATACCTGAACAATCGAAAAGCGTAAGATTGATTTCATGGCTTAAGACCAAGACTCACCATAAAAAATGTAAGTACCACCCCCCCCCCTCCTGAAACGGCTAACTTTATTAACACATGTTTACAAATATAGCTAATGATGGTACTACACCAAGGAGTAGTAGCAGCAGCAGTAAAAGCAGTAGTGACAGTAGTAATAACGGTAGTTTATCCAGTAGAGAACACGCAACTATCCCAATTGCAAGGCCTACCTCCTCACTTGCACCTCTGCGCTCTGATAGTCGAGCTCCTTCTTCATTACAGCAAAAGGGTGACAATATTGATAGAATTTCGATAGAATCTGAACTTCGAGTGCATGCAGGCGACATGAATCGTTCAGCCCTTACTTCCAAGCCGCCCATGGAAGTGCTATTGGAGATCAATAAAATTTTGTTATTGTTGGGAGTTGAAGTAGAAAATCAAGGCGGCTATAAATTGAACTGTACAAGACGCTCTACGGAACACTATCAGCAACTTGGTATGGATCAAGAGGAGGAGGACATGATGAACCATCTAAGTACTAGCCACCAGCCTGTACTTAGCCAACCTATCTATGGGCATCCTAGTTTAGATAATGGACAGGAAATTCAGTTTTCTGTTGAAATATGTAGATTTGAGAATTTATCTGGGTTGTTTAGTGTAGACGTTCAATATATTAACCAAGACAACTTTTCTGGTTACCAGTTTATTGGACAAAAATTATTAGGCTTATTGCACATGGGAAATGTAATTAGAAATACAAACTTTAATATCATGCTGAGTAAAATTGAATAATAATAAAAAAAAACGCACGTTTCATCATTCTAAACTAAAAAATGTGATGCTTGTGGAACTGTGGGGTGCGTCGGCGGTAAAAAAAATAAAAAAAAAAATAACAGCATTCTTTTTATAAGGTAATAATAATATAATGAACAAAAAAGACAGAATAGTGTGGAGGTATGTGCGTGTGTTATAATAATATGGGACATTTTTTGTTTTATGCTAAACCATGAAGAATTAATTGAGCTTTGTCAGCTCTCTTCGACATGAGTTGTTCGTGTGTAAGATCATTTTGCTCTTCCTTGCAACCTTCTTCTTCTTTTTCTTCATCTTCTTCGGATAAATCACAAGCAGAATCAGCATCTCCAGGATGGTGAGCAATAAAACGACCAAGACGACTTAATCTATCTACAATTGATTGTTGGTTTTCTAACAAGGCAGGATGACGAATCATTCTACGTAAAGACAAACTAGTTTCGCGCACTTGTTCATCAATTAAAATTTCTTTTTCGGCAGAAAGTTCTTGTAATTTCATAGCTTCAATCCATGAGCCTAAGCCAATAAAGGAAACCACGAATTCTGCTAATGCCATAACAACATACTCAAGGTCGCCTTCTTGCTCGTCGTTGCGGTTCTTTTGTAATTTACGAATACCAGAGCGAAGTACCTCAGCATTTTCGAGTTCGACTAAACCTTGTTTTTGACGTTCGGGATCAGATTGCTTTAAAAGGATGGAACCGACAAGAACATGGATCATTGCTTTTTTAACCAGTTCATCAAGCTGATTTAAGTTGGTCTTTTGTGACACATTGGATGCACGACAGGTCATTGAGCGTGGCACACGTTGGATAATGGTAGAAGCCCACTTTTCGGCATCATTATTTTTCCAAAGAGCTTCCACTGTAGCACCAACGGCAGCAAGCCAATGGGCCAATCTTTGATGGTCATCTTCTGTTTCGGTAGTAGATTCAGTTAATAGCATGATGTCAATAAATGCTGTTTCAAGTGTTTCATCAAATCCGGTGTCGTTGCTACTAGTCATTGTACTGACTAACCGATCAAACTGAATACGAAGACTGTCCAGCAAGTGTAATGTGGATAATATTGCAACAGGCACAACAACAGGCGCAGTAAAGGAAATCGAAAGGTTGTTGCCAGATTTTGGAAGTTTATCATTTAAAGCGGTTTGGTTTGTAATGATTTCCATAGTTTCGGACCACGCACGGGTTTGACGCATTTCAGAAATGGAATCATGATCTTGTTCAGGATCCATCCAGGACAATGCTTGCATCCAAAGACTAAGATCTTCGTCATCTTCATCCTTGGTAATGGAATGCTGCCAGAAATAATTGGACAACTTTTCAGCAATAGAGTGTTTGGGGATGATTAGCGACATTTGCAGAGCAGCTGTAGCATAGGCACGGGCATGGGTTTGGTTGACATGTTCATGAACACTGTCATCCAATGTGTCGACCAAATTAATCATTCGAAAGCAAGAGTACAACATACTTGTGCGAGACATTTCGGGAGCACCACCAAGACAGGTGGTTTCATTCAATTTAATCCACTTGCAAACTTGACCGAATTCTTCTTCAGCAGTAAGTTGATGATCCCCATACATGATGTCATAACCAAGTACATGGTGAGAGAATATGCGGAGGGTTTCTTTACACAGAGGAAAGAAGGTGGCTAAAGCACCTTGAGGTAATTCATCATTGTCTTGGCGGAGTGATTTATCGAGGATGGTATAAATTTGACGGCATTTCAGAAGGCCAGGTGTCACAGTGGTACTTGTAACATCTTTGCGAGAGGTTGCTACAATCGTACGTTTAGATCTACTAACACGTTTCAGTTTGAGGGAAGAGCCAAATAGTATGGATTTGATGTAAGGAAATAAAAGTTGGACAATGCAAATAATGAATACAGTGGTACGTAAAGCAGACCTATTGCAATTTTTGTTAGTTATACAAAGAGAATTAGATGCAAAGTCTATTTCTTACCATCCGTCGTCAAATTTGAACACAGAACCGAGGAAAGACTCAGGTGCAGCGCTTGTATTACCCAGTGTATTTGAAATTGTATTGTCTTGGCCTGTGGTTGTGGTTCTTGAGGTATGATGATGATTTTGATATTGCTCGGAGGAATTGGGACCGGCAGTCAAGGGAGATGTAGAAAAGAATGTGATACACATGAATATAGCCATAAAGACTCTATTTGTCATAGCAGGTGGTGTTACAGGATCTGGTGATGAAGAGGAAGATTCATATTCATCGGAGGCTTCATGTTGATTTGTACCAAATCGAGCACGCTTTCTATTTGCTGCCTTTCTTTGTTGATCTTGTTGCTTTTGAACTTCACGTTCCATGACGGCTTGTTGTTGGATTTCTTTCTCACGCTGTTGCTTTTGTATATGATAGCGTTGCAAGATATCAGCACCACCCGGTAATTGATTGAGTATGTTTTGAAGTGCTTGGTTCTCACGTCGGACATCATCACCCGTCTTTTTCAGATGATTGATGTATTCGGTTGCTTTACGAAGAATTGTTGCCTTGTTTAACTTTGTAGCCACTGCAACACCGTCTAAGAATTCTGCACCATCTTCGGCTTCATCTTCGTCATCGTCGTTATTACGGCGTTTGGAACCGGCTGGTGTCTTATTCACTTTAGCATATAAAAGTGCGGGTACTGCATTTTTAAGTTCAGCTATACGATCATTGATATTATTACGATAACGACGTTCAATAGCATTATGTGCAGTCTTTTTATGTTGACGACCGATAGGCGGGTTTTGTGCATTGGTGGTATTTAAAGCAGCATTTACTGCATTGCTAATAATACTTGAAGATTTTAAACGTTGAATGGGTACCTTGGCTATTCATGATAAAAAGGGAAATTTATATTGTTATTTCATTGGTTGATTATTTTAGTTTGTATTTTTTTTTTTTTTTTTTTTTTTTTTTTGCTATTTTTACCTTGAGAATCGAGGGAAGTGTTCCAATTCATGAAGTCCAAAGAAGGATTTGTTGGTAAGGATTTTTTCTCTGCCTGAGGAGAAGTAGTAACAGATGCTGATGATTGGAATAAGGCGGGTTGTTGCATAGGTTGAGAGGGTGAATATGATGGAGGTGAATATGGCAAGGATTCTGGACTAGCATATTCGTTTTTAACACTGTTGTTAGTTGTTGTGGACGTAGTAGCATAGTTGTCAAACTTCTGTTGTTGTTGTTGTTGTTGTTGTTGCTGTTGTTGTTGTTGTTGTTGTTGTTGCTGTTGCTGTGGTTGTTGTTGCTGTGGTTGTAGTTGTTGTGGTATCAAGTTGGATAAAGGTTCATATAATAAAGAGGGGTCGTTGTAGTTATTTGTGTTCATAAAGATGGGTTGGGCTTGTTCATTTCTCATGGAATTGCTGAACAGCTGATTGTCAATGGGTAAATATCTATCAAAATCTTGCCATGAATCTTGTTGAAAAAGAGCTGCTTGTGCTTGCTCTTGCAATTCCAGGTCGAACTGCGACAAAGAGAAATAAGCTGAAGTGTCTTCTTCATTTAAAACGCCTGTATCAGTAGAAAACAAGTCTATTGGAAGTGGTGCAAAAGCTTCCATGGTGATTTATTGTTGATATTTTGTTTTGTTTTTTTGTAAAAGGAAAAGGAGAAAGAGGAAAAAGAAAAAAAGAAAAAATTGTCCCCCACCTATTGGGAGTCATCCCAATTCCAACCCCGGGCACACATTCGTGGCAGTGCACGCGCACGCACACTCATTTTTTTTTTTTTTTTTTTTTTTTTTTTTTCGCAGCTGGGCGAAAAAAATGGCCTGATTTTTATTTTTTGTTTCTACCGCATTCTACTCATTTGACGTTTATGGTATCTGGGTTCGTATTAAATCTTGCATTTTACTGGACATCAAGTGGCTTTTATTGCGCATTTTTCTCATTTAATCTTGACATTGTAATTAATCACACACATTCAAGCGAATAGGATCGTTTATACATATATCGGCCCGGCCGATATCTCCTCTTTTCTCGGGACAGGAAATAAGGGGTCTATTCCACCCCCTAAACTCTTATTTGTTAAAAGTACATTGTTATTACTTTTGCATGAAGCAGTTTTTCATCACTCCTCTTTATCACAAAAGAGTACAATGAGTCAACTCCGCTGGTCAAAGCACCTTGAAGATATGACACTGACCAATCTTGAAATAATAAAAAATCGTATTAAAAATAGATGACATAATTTGATTGGACGAGTTCTACATAAGACCATAAGTTTATAGTTACGACCCTGTTATGTGTACAACCCTGTGTAAGCCTTTTATTGTGTAGCAAACATATCATCCTACTATATTGGTCATCGTTTCTCGTCTATCTTCTATTACAGTCTATGGATACTTTCAAAGTAACATAAAAAAAAGAGGGGAACGGGCACATGTTTAAATTACAGTGTAATTACATTTGGATCACCGTTCTATATACAGAAAATTAGTCATGTATAAAATAGAGTAATCGTTTTATACTTACAAATGGATGACGCCAACCGCACTGGAAATCGTTCTTTTTATAAGATCTATCTACACTGGTTGAAGTATTATAACCAATATGATACATGAGTAGTGTTTTGCTTGTCACCAAAGTCTGTGTACATTCTCTACACTCATACAGATTACCTAATAAGCATTGTTGTATAATAATATCAGGTGGTAAATTTGGATATTTTAACAATAGACCAGAGGCTAATTTCGCAATCTTAGGTTTCAGAAACAGCCCGCTTCCCCCTGTTCCGACAAACACACCGCAATGATGAGGAGATTTTATATTGGCGGCGTAAATCACACTTTCAATCTTTCTCCATTCTTTCGTGCCACATACAGGAAAATCATCTTCAACAAGTGCAATATACGTGGACTGGAAATTGTCTGCTGCTAAGCTGAGAGCTTTTGAAACATGGCTACGTTGATTCAATGTATTCCCTTCTTCACGAATCCATTTCAAATAGCGTCTTCCTCTCGTGGTATTTTCAAACATGGCCTTGGCTTTATCATATTCTATATGTGTTGTAAAGTGTGTATATACCAAGGTATGGATCCGGTCATACAACGATCCAGATTCCGGATTCTCGGGCCAATTTTTAACATACGAATCCAACGTGCGTGAAAGAAATGAAGGGTTGCCCCGACGGGGCGCTGTCATGATAACGAATGTAAAGAGATAACGGTCATATGATAATTGGTTCAGACTGACCGAATCGACCAATCTTTCTTGCGTATAATACCCGTTACAGATCAAGAGGATGGGCAAAGTAGCAAACACAACCAATAATCCCTTTTTAACCGCAGCTTGTAATGTTCGCCAAAGGGGTAATGGCCGATATCTGCCCATAATAATCTCAACAGGCACAGCGTCATCTTTTTCATAAAGTTCTTCAGAAGCCCAATTTTTATCGTGTGCTAAAAGTGTTTGGATGATAATCATCGCAATGAAGCCAGTAAGCAGGCCAGTCAAGGACCACCATAAAATGCTCTTCACAGTGTAATTTACAAGACACATCATGATTTGGAGCGTTACTTTTCGAATGGTAAACTTGCTGTTGCTTCCATACATGAATATGTATTTATCTTGAATATTCAGTGACTGGACCACCACGAGTGCAAATAAAAAAGGAGCGAGACCTAGCATTGTTTTTACATTGGTTTTTATTGGAGTTACCTATTGTAAAGAAATACCTTGATTGCATTCGTGTAATGAATCGCTGAAAAACAAGGAAGGAACAGCCCAGCCCGTACTTTTTGAAAAAATATAACCAATAGCTTGTCGAATTGTGCAGACCGAAAATATAATACAGGCCAATATTTGAACTAACCGCCGTGTTCCACCTACCATATGAGTTAAGGATTCTTCAAACAAACCCAAGATCAAAACATTCCAACTAAAAATAATAATATTTTGTAAAGAAGGCAAACATAAGAAAGGAGAAATAAACAGGTTTGTTAATTCTAATCGATGAATGACAAAAGAAGGTGATGAGCAAGTAAAATCAAATAAACCGAGAAAATTTAAAGTTGAAATGATGAAAGAAAATAGGATGGTGTAACGTGTAATTGTAGGCAGTGGCCAGAGGCAGAGTGATTTTTGTGATTTTGAGTTACTGTAAATTTGAATGAGAGAAGAAGAATGGGTATATTGCTGTAATTGCTTCAATTTATTTAATTTTCGTAGTTGCTTTAGTACATAAAACGAATTTTTTCGGCCATGTTTCCGTTTGCTCATTTTTCGATTCATGGATATTGGTGCTTGTTGTTTCGCCATGTCGACAATCGTTGTGCATTCATCGTTCTTCGGTAAACCGGGTGAAGTGGGCCTCGACACTTCTTGCACTACTCTAACGGCTCCAAAAACTTTAAACAGATAGTCTGACATGACAATAGTAGAAAAAGGAAAAAGAGGAAAGTAATAAAAGTAAACAAAAAGATCTACCATACCAAAGTTTTTTTTTTTCATGGTGACACTAATTAAATAATGCCTTGTGTTCATTTAAGATTTAAAAATACTTTTTTATTCATTATCCATCGTGTCATCCTCTTCTTTTTCAATACCTTGTAGCCTTACAAGGTTCAGGTTCTTCAAGTCTAATAAACTGCTGTTTCATAACCGACACTTATTGAATGAGCATCTTTACACACTTACCTTTTAAATACTTCAAACAGGACTTGCCCACACCTGTATGATCCAAATTAAGATTAGTGAGATTCAGCATGCCTGTTAAACCAATTATTTTAGCACGATAAAGATTTCATGAATTTATTCGCCACCGATATTTCTTACCGGCTATCCCTCTTACACCTTTATCTGTAACAAGTGTACATTGCGCAAGGTTTAGAGTTCTCAAATTACGTGCAAAGCTTGTTTGTTCGAAATCTCCTAGCATGCATAATCCGTCATTGGTAATTTTAGTGCGACTCAAAGAAAGTGTTTCCAGTTTAGAAAGTCCTATTTGTTAATATTTTAAAGGGCTTGTATTAATTATAAATGTCTGGATGACCTTTTTACCTTGTAATTTTCTAAGCCCGACATCTGTCAATAATGTACGATCCAAATAAAGCGTATCCAATTCAATCAAGTCTTATAAAAATATTTAGATATACAATGTGCCAAGTTATGAAACACGTTCCTGTTGCAATGGTACCTACTCTCAAATTGACTGATTCCTTTATCTGTCACTTTTGTTCCGTTTAAATTTAAATAACGCAGGTGTTTCATAAATGCAATATTCTCTGCTCCCTCGTCTGTGATATTCAAAAATCCACTCAAATCCAAGTACTCAATGGGTAAATCTGTATTAAATGTATAAGTAGATTTACATTTTTATGTTATATTTGGTTTACCTTTGTATCTGTGTAGGACGCTATCTAATTCATGCTCACGATTGGGAAATTGAATGTGCCTGAGATTCCTCAATTCTACACAAAATAACAAATTTAGTTTCACCTCGTTACACAGTGTTATTGCGGACAAAAGGGTACCTCTGGGTAAAAAGGATAAACCCCTCGTGGTCAACTCTTCACATCCACCTAGCTTTAACTCCACGAGACTTTTGAACTGACTGATTGTCCCAATCAAGTCCTGGTCATTGAAACATGTGTGGTTGATATCCAGCTGTTCGAGACGGATGTTCTTATTAGTTAGTTGTTGGTCTTCAAGTATGCTACCGGGCGTTGTATATGCAAAAGATAGTTGAATAAGGTTTATAAATTCTGTGGGGGGCAACTTAGTATCCATGTAGTGGTTTCATTAAGAGTAAAATTACCATTGACAATTGGAATTAATATACCACATGACTTCACACGTGTACATCCGTCCAATAATAACATTTGCAGTTCTGGTTTGAATTTGGCATTTCCTACCATGGATGCAATGCCCGTATTAGTAATTTTTGTTTTTGATAAGTTCAAGTAAGAAAGATAGGGTAACTCTACAGATATATAGATATTAATTCAACATTAATCAGAGGTCTATGTGGAAGTGTTTGTATTCACTTTACTCTCAAGTGATTTTAATCCTTTATCCGTGACCTTGCAATTATTTAAGTCCAAATAGGTTAGATTCTTCAACCCTTCCAAAGACCGAATAGCCCCATCCGTAATTAATTCACAGCCTCGAAGACTGAGTTTTGTGATGGATGCGGAAGAATTTGACTTGCTTAAATCTTCAATCAGAGAATCTGTGCAATATGAGTACGAGTCAAAAATCACATTCTGTAGATAGCTGTATGACGGTTTGTAAATATAGTATGCCGTGTTTATAATCCAATATATCCTACCAATGATCGGCCAATTTTCGCAAGGTAGTAACATTTAATTTCCCATTCTTGATGAGATACTTCAGTAAAGATTCTGCTATATCTGCAGAAATACACGATAGGCTTTTCAAATAGCGATTGGCACTACTCGTATGCTGTGTAAGTAATCCAGCTACTGTTGCAGAACAAAAATATTTTAAAGCCTTTGGATTTCGCGGCTTAACAACGCGTGCATTCGGCCCAGTTGTTTTAGTATTACTTCGTTGCTCAGCAGCCAGTGCCATATTTTCCCTCCTATCTAAATCTGCTGCATTTTCTTCGACATGTACAGTCTCAGTTGCTATATAATATTAATTAATCGCTTTACATGTATCTTAAAGCATGTGTATATGTTTACTCTCAGCTATCTCTTCAACTGGTGGCGATAAATCAGTCAGTTGATGACCACCACTAGTCTCAGGTCCATATGATCTTCTGTGGCGAGCAATTAGAGGAGGAAGTAGAGAGTTGAACGCTGGTATATAAGTGTCGATCATAGAGTTCTGTTGCATGGAGGTAAGTACGAAGAGCTTAAAATTGTATGTAGATTACTTACTGATTCATCATCCGAGTCACTCTCAGCGATGCCGTCCATATTATGCTCATCTGTATTATCTATAGTGTCCTCCTGTGTAACTTCTGGAGGTGATGTTGGTGCTAGTAACACATTTAAAGAGACATTTGGCAAAAAGTTGGCTTCTTTCATGTCTAATGCCCCATCATCCAAAGTAAACACCCTTCTTGGGAAAACCTGCAAGGATGTTAAATTTTCTAAATTGATAGAAACAGGAGTAACAATAAAATTTTACTTACACAAACTAATGATATATTATTAATAGTAATAGCATTATGTAATACAAGCTCTTTTTCAAATATGAATTCAAGTAAATCTTTGACTCTAGCAGTAAGGGGAAATTTTTGTCGTATTGTGGAGGCATCTGATAATTTAAACTTTTGAGGTACGATTCCCATTAGAAAAACAAATCTATTTAGTTTAACAAAAAAAAATGTCTACCTGTATAAAGGCTTCGATGGCGTTAGCTTTCTGAGGGGTGCTCAGTGTGGTGGTAAAAGAGGTAGAGGATAATTTTGATCTTTTATCTTTTTTATCATTTTTATCGTTTTGGATATCTTCCAAAACACGTTGCTTTTGTTCTTGTTCTAACTTCTTCTTTTTTTTTAATTCTATCTGCATGCGTTCTCTTTCAGTCAACGTTTTATTTACAGGTAGAGAGGATGCTTTGCTTGGTCCTCCCTTGCATTTTCTTTTTTCATGATCATTTTTTATTTCCAGAAGCGCTCTCTTCTTGGCTTCTCGTTCCATAATTTTGTCCTTTCTCAGTTCGTTCGCAATTTGCTCAAATTTTTTCTGTTGAGCGCGTCTACTCTCTTCGTAAGCCTTATCTCTTAAGTCATTCTATAGAACATGAGTTAATCACCTTGTTGTAGAGACCGATCAATTTTTTACCTCATGCGACTTAAACTTCAGATGACTCCCAGAGGAATAAGGCACTGAAAGATCCATATCATTCGTTTCAGCCTTTTTGGGTATTGAAGAGGTTTGCGTTAAATTTAAAACGGGTGCACGGCTTGGGTTCAAGATCCTGCCATTCTAATGTCAGTACTCTGTAGAAAGGATGCAGTCTACATCTCTACTAACCATTCGGTTGCATTCTCCATGGTGGAGTTTTGCGAAAGTGCTTGTCTGCATAGATCCAACTCAAACCCTAGGCTGAGCAAGTAGGCTAAATTGTTGTCGTCAAGTATAGTCATTGTATGATTTTGGCAAAAGAAAAAAATTGATGAGGTCGCGTGCGCAATTTGTGTGTACGAAATTCATGCAGATGACGTGTCGTAAGTTAATCACCAGCCAATCTGTGCTGAGACCTTGTATCAAACTTAAGATGGCTTCCTGCCTCTTTTGTAAGCTCCTGTGTCGTCGAAAAATTTTCCGTAACACCTTCTACATAGCCGCCAAGATGGGCATGTTCACAAAAAGACTATGAATGACACAGTTTTAATCGTGTGCTATAGCTCAGGTGGTATATACATATTTTCTTTTTAAAGGTCTATACATTATAAAGTGGTGGTAGTTTTTTAAAATGCAATAACTTTGCTACTTTTGGAGCTTTGGATTAACTGCAGGGCAAGGTGTAAGACTGTGAAGAAGTCAAGTCTTTCGTATGTGTTGATTCAGAACGACGTACTGAGGGACATGATTGATAGCAGCAAAATAAAGGCCCATATTGGCAAACTTGACCTTTCTACAGCCATTTTCATCAGACAGTACTCGCAACAGGCCCGCTAATTTTTTAGAGCAGAGCACACATGTTGGTGACGTATTGCGCTCATTCGCAATATAAACACCAATATTCTGGCCTTTTTTCATTTTTCTATTTTTTTTTTTTTCTCCAGTGATCATTGCAACGCATGAAATTTTTTATGATCGGTCTAATACCACCGCCTTATCCCCAACAAAGACGATTATGCGTTTATTCTTTGAAAAAGAAACAAAATTTCGCCCTTTTTGGCATACTTTATCATCATGGTACTTTCTTTCGGAAAAAAATAAAAATGTCTTAGACCATTGCTGCTCTTCGTCCAATATGTATTTTGAAAGACTGTCACTTGGAATAATTGTTTTTTTGTTTTCTATTTTAAAAATGAATGCCCTACTTTCATAATTATCATCTATAATAAATGCCGAAAGTCTTGGGAATGCAAATAAAGCATTATAGATAGGCTCTTACAAGGGTTTTCTGTCTACAATTGATTAATGAACATCAACACAAAGTATTAAAAACTGTCGCTGTTAGATACTTCCAACTATGACTAAACATTTATTGTACAATTCCAAGTTGTATTCAAATTTGTCCAATGTGAGTCTCGCTGTTTCACTCATAGAGAGAAAATAACTTTATCCGGATTTAGCAGTTTTGGATCTATAAGACAGCTCTCCATTTATGTAATCCCCGTGCATTTCCTGCTATTTGAATTGTGCTGTTTAATTTCAGCATAATATTCATTAACTTCTTAAAATCAGATCCTTCAGTCAAGAATCTTTAAACAGCGATTGTTGTGCCTTAGAATAAGCTTTCTTGTAATCTGTTGTAAATCTTGATCTATTTGATTTACTTAATTTATACGGTCTTTTAGTTCTTGTATCAAAAATTATATCAGAGTATTATGCGCTACGGCATCAGTAAATATACTCCCATCTTCCTTTGTTTTAATACAAATATTCTTGATGTCTCAAGCGTTTGGTTGAAGACAGAAATTTTGATTGCTCCTGATTTAATTTTTTTAACGATCTTTTTAAGTTCATCAATATCGGCTTTTTTGATCATTTGTCTGTCTTAATTTTAAAAGGTTTTTCAGAAATAATTTTACTTTTGGGCTTTTTGTGATACTCTTTAGCTCGTATGGTTCTGTCTCCAGATAATGCATTTATTTCATGGGTAATTGTTAGTCTATATTATTACATAGATCTTCTATATTTTTCATATTAAAAAAAAACCTAACATGACATCTCCAAAATCTGTGATTAAAGCTATATCTATCTGTATGGGTTTGGGTTTAGGTAATTTTGCAGAAAACATTATAGAAAATATACGTAGGTCACCTAGCCTAAAAAATTAGCACCGTAGCCTGTTTTACTAATGGTACTAGCTGCTTGATGAACTTGCTATATTTGTTATGTACCTTACATATTATCATGAAGGAAAATCCGTTGACATAATTGAACATGTATCAGAATTAGCACGAATATAAGAATTAACAAAATTAGCACATTTCAAATGCATTCCAAATTTAACCATTGGTACATCAGTCATAGCTGTAGATATATTAAGACGCCTGACCTGGCGATTTAAAAAATTGTATTGGAGCCGCCCAAAATATGGTGATAATAATGGTAATGAAAATAGTGCACACTATCAAAGAGGCATTTCATTCTATTTTTTATTTCATATACTTTGCGTTTGACTTCTGAACTAGGCTAATTTTAAACCATTTTTTTTTCCTAAACTTCATATACTTTTTTTTTTTTTTTTTTTTTTTTGGAATTTGGGCCCTTTTTTTATAATAAGTGCCATCAAAAGGAATACATCTCATTGGTAAGTCTGTACATTACTTTAAACTTTCTTAAAGCTCCATGTTACCGTCATATTATATTGGTTATGAAACATCGAGTTGAAGATTTGTTTGTATAGACTACTTTTATGATTTTGTGTATAATTGATTTCGTCGCTAAAGTGATATAATGTTATTACCTTTTTCTGGAGCGACTACTCCCTCAGTCTGTTGTTACTATAAAGTTGCCTATTATTCCTCTATTTTTAACATACGGTTACCCGAAACAAACAATAATATATAGGAGGTCATAAGTCTAGTGCATATTAGCTAAGTTCATAGAATTGTGAGTTTGACATAAACAAAAAAACAAAAAAGGTCCCTTTCATAAACCACCGGTCTACATGCACCAAATAAATGAGAATTGTCAAAAAATAAATTCCGATCTACCAGAGTCGAACTAGTGACCTAGAGATGTCAATTTACACTACAGTCTCCCGCTCTACCAACTGAGCTAAGATCGGTTATATGATAACTTTGAATAAACAATAAATAGATATGCCATAAAATAACATATTTTTAAATCACGTGACATTCACGTGGACGCATTTATATTGGTCAACATAATTGCTTAGTTTCAATATCATATCATTCCAAAAATAAATATCGCTTTTCTTAGGGACAGCCAATTTTTCCTTAGGGACAGCCAAAGTGCACGTAGTCGCAACGTAAGATCTATAGTTTGGATGTTCTGTAGACATGGGAACAAGGATATACAATCAAAAACAATGTAAAAATTAAAAATAAATGTACATCAAACGATTTATACTTATT